TTGAGCGGAAAGGCAATCAAACGCATTCCCTCCTTGCTTCCAAATGTTTTCAAATATTTGTTTTCTTCGATGCTGTTTACACTCGGCCAACAGAAAGTGCTCTTGTTTGCCTTGTGATTAAATGAAGAACAATCCCGGCAGAACAGAGGATGACGAATCAGCAGAAAGTACGCGGAATTGCAGCGTCGAAAGCAAACAACAGAGAAATCTACATGCCCTCGGGAGTCGAATCATTTGATACCCTTCCTTGCAGATGGGTTCCAGGTTCGATTGGTCTTGGATGAGATGTGTATCTTTTACATGAAAGTGTTCTATCCCTCCACTAGGGTATACCAAATGAAGCAGTCTCTGTGCAGTGTTAAGGGGCAGATAGTGTTGAAGTGCTTCCCGCTCTCAATATGAAAACGTAATCAATCGATGGACAGACGAGCCAACAAATGCCTTTTCTCATATTATTTATTTTGATTGCTTCACTGCTTGCTCGCTCCACATATAACGAATACGCACATTGTGTGGGGTGAGTGCTTCGGAATATAAATAAATATTATTTAATTGGTAAATGGTAAATGGGTCCCCGGGCGGACTCTTCTGATTGTTTACTGATTGTCCAGATGTCAGATGTGACAACTACGCATATTTCAACACAGAAATAGTTATTCTTGGCAGTGAAGCTTTCAGTCCCAATTTGTTCATTCACTTAGCATTCGATTTATTGAGTTTCTAGCCATTTCCATTTCAGTTTCATTCTTAATTCGTTTGCCCTTTAGTTCACGATTACTCAATTTCTTTCCTTTTCCATTCATTCTCTTTATTTTTCTGGCCATCCATTCCCTCTTAATCACTCACTCGTTCTAGTATATTCATTTATTTTTCGTACATTTCCTTCCCTTCCAGTTCCAATCCCCTCCTTCCCCTCTTTTATTTGCCCCCTTTTTTTGCCCAACCCCAAAAGCATTTCCTCCTCCATATGGAAGTACATAATGATTCATAATTTCTTCGCCCCACTTTGCCACTGACAATTCAGTAATAAAACTGAAACGAATTAATTTCAATAAATCCATCAATAGACGAGTACCCCTCTATACGTAGCCGTGGACATCGAGCGGCAGAGCCAAACAAACTCGTAAAAATTAAACGGACATGGAGATGGAGTGCCATCGACATCGACAGTCCAAAAAAAAAAACAAACTATCTAAAGACTTGATATGCCGCCATATAAAGTATGGACGGGTTGGGTCGCTGTCTCTCTGGCCACGTGCTCGCCCACATGTCCACGGAGAGCAGAGAGAGAGAGAGGTAGAGAGAGAGAGAGCTAAGAGCTCCATTTGCCAATATCGTTTGGGGCGCCATCAATTGAATGTTTTGCTGCTTCCGGGCCGGCCAGACCCCAGACTTTTCGTGGCTTGCGGCACCCGCCCTTCAAAGTCAAATTTCCAGTCCATTTCTGCCGCCACATGGTTTCTTTTTTGCAGTCAAATCCTGCAGGTTGGCCTACAGGATATGTGAAGAGTGTTTAAGGCAAATCGATACAGATTAAAAATCATTAAGCTGGCATGGGTTGACTGGTTTTAAGGGGGAAAATGTGGAATAAAATAAAACACTGATTAAGCTAATTATTGCTTATTATAAATTAATTAAATAATACAATTAATTGAGCTAGATAATTGAAGAAAATCGTATGTAAATTAAAGTGAAAACGTGTAGTCATAAAACTTTCATTTCTGTGAGTTGTCAATACAAATAAAATACATGGGGCTGGCAACCCTGTCAGCTGTTTACTGAAAGAGGCCTCACAATCGATTGGAAAAGTTGCAAAAACCAAAACAAACAAAGAAAAAACCGAGAGATAGTCTATCTATAAACACTCAAAATGGTAAACAAACTTTGGCTGATCTATCCATTCGATTGCTCTATTATCTATAAAAAAATCTGCAATCGGAGATAAGGATTTACAGAATATTATCCCTTTGGATTGTGCACTAATATACTTCCCATAGATGCCATATCCGTCTCTCTTGTAGTCCCCTTCTCATCCACGGTGTTTTTCTCATTTCCCTGTTGTTTTTTTTTCTCCGCTTTGGGCGTTACCCAAATCCCAGGCTGCACCCTTCCTGGCTCTGGCGGTTTTTTGTATAATTGTCCCCCCCCCCCCCCAGTCTGGGGATATTTTCTGCAATATTTATGAGTTTTTATTGGGGGGGCCAGGCCTCAGGTGGGCAAAAGTTGTACCCAAAAATAAACACCGATCCACTTTTGTGTTTTTGCAAAATAGAAAAAAATGAAAACATATGATTTATGTATGTTTTTGCGAGGCGTACAAATGAAATTCGCTTTTGTCGCAATGCGTTAGAGTTGGCCCTGGGCCAGATACAGACACAGATGCAGATACAGCACTTGGATGGATGCCAGTCAGCAGAGGAGTGGATTCATTTAGCATCAGGTGTGGCAGAGGCATGTGTCGTGTGTGATGGGGCAGGTTCAAAGTGCAAAGTCAGTAGCAGCCTGTCCCACATCGATGGCCTGCGCCCTCGAAGGGAAATCCAATTTCCGCATCCCCAGCCACATCCTCTGGGCGTCATTGGCCTGGGAAAGGTTTATTCAACCTGCTTCCTGGGTCTTAGCCTTCTGGAAGGAGGCCTCCCATTCTGCTGCCCCTGCTGCTGTTGCATCATTGTGTGATGCGATGTGCTGTGTTGTGTTGTGTTGCATCATTGTGTGCTCATTCGGTATGCAGCCGGAGAGCCTCTCCATGTGGCAGGTTAATGTCTAAAAGCTACCATCCATTCATCGCCTTTGTTCAGGGGCCCCCTCCAGCCATGAGCCATGAGCCATCAGCCATAAGTCTCCTGGCCTGCTTAGCTCCTGGAGTTTGGCGTTGGAGTCGCGGCGGTTGGGGGGGTGGGAGCAGCCACTCAGTGCGTAAATCAGAAACGCAGCTGTCGCCAGTTCCCAGTCCCCAGTCCCCACTCCCTGCCCGACGTCTGTCTTCTGTCACTCTCTGCCTCGGTCTAGCCAGTTTTTCCAGCCCCACGATTGCTCATTTCTCGTTTTTTACTTGGCAAAAAAAAAGAAGAAATAAACTCGTCCGCCGATCGTAAAGCTTACTTTTATGGCTATTAAGATTCCACCAAAAATTGCATACGCACTGTTGCCCAACAGACAGTATGGTCTAAAGTGGTCAAAACTCTGCTTAACCTTAACGCCACACACTTTTTAAAGCTTCAACTTGAAGTTGTTAGTGGAGCACCAAAAACCTCTTTAAAACAGAAAGAGATCTTTCTTTTAGGGGCATAAAAAGTGTGGCAAGTGGCCAGAGGCATGTGTCATGTTTTTATGGGGGATCTATGTACTCACATGTGTTGCAACAGCATAAGTAGGTACTGTCTGAGATATAGAAGCGGAGTGAGATGTAATGGACACAGCTAGAATATTTGTCATAAGGTGGAAAGATCATAAGTTTATATATATAGAAACTGAGTAACGGGTAGCATGTTGTCGCGCCACTTGTGCAGCGACTCCCAAAGGCAGGACGGGTTTTTTTTAGCTCTCATTATCGGTTTAGCGCCATATAGTCATATGAAAGGCTTGTTTTTAGTCATATTAAATGATATAATATTAATAAATATGTAGTAGCGCAATGGAATAGCCAAACAACAAGAATAACGGCCAGAAAAATTACAAAAAAAATAGCCAGAAACACGAAAAGATATACAGCTCTGATCTTCTGGTAGCTTTCACTGAGAAAAATCTCGTAGTCAATTTAGAACCAAATACTCGTATTTGTTTAAAGATGGAAATAATTTATTGGTTCTGGAAGCCGTAATTCCTGGGTTCTGGAAGCCGTAATTCCTGGAAGCTAAGGCTGATTGGACTCCTGGAAAAAGTTGTTTATTCTGGAGTATTCCGCCGATCACATGACTTTACAACAATAAAACAAGCTTCCGTTAAGGGCTCAATAATACAAAAGAAATGTAATTCCTTTTGAATAAACAAAAGAAGCACATAAGACAACAATTACTGGAAATATTTGAAATATTAAACAGACCTTTGTTGCGACTAATTCCTTTGTTCTAATACAATAGTTTCCATAGAAGCTTTTCTTACTTTTCGATTAATTTAAAACTAAAATCTTACTCATTCTGTTTCATTATTTACTACACTCCCACACGCACCTCTCTCGAGCAGAGCACCGCTCTATATGCACAACGGACAATCCCCAACAACCCACACAGAACAGAATCTTAATCTGTTCTGCCCTCTCCCCCCCCCCATTGCTGTGATTCCCTCCTACGACGTGCATTATCTCCACTCAATCTCTACAATTCGCAAAAAATATTTCCCTCGCGTTTTCCTCAAAACTTTACGCACAATTTCATGTTGATTACACGCTGCCTCTGTCCCCAGGTCTCTTTGGCCACCTCTTCTTTCCTCTATGTCTCTGCTGTCTCTCTTTCCACCTCTTCTTTCCTCTATGCTGCTTTGTTTCGTCGGACTGTTTATGCCCCGCTGTGAGACCCCACACTCCCCAGTCTCTCCCCAGTTGTTTGCGCTCATTTCGCATGCAAATTCATTTAGTAAATTAATTGCTCACTCCACACGCACCACGCACTTGCCCAGTTTTTGGAATACTCTCTAGACTCTTGAGGGGTATATTGCTTCCACTAGGGCACACACGTATTCACTGCACAAATTTCCCACAAGCGAATAGACATAGGCATGGATAGACGGCGATATCTGAGATGGAAGATAGAGGGGTATCCGTCAGTTCATGCACTCCTTGTGGACGTCTCATTTGTATCCGTTTGCTTTTCGGCTCGGAATGGGAATTGGAATGGGAAAGGGACAAGTTAAATTGCCGGCAGATTGAGGTCATGCGCTCCACTGTGGCGTGCCGCACCGACCGTGGGGAGGGCATGGCAAATGGAGCAAGGGTTCGGGTTCCACTCCTTCTCTCTGTGTGGGATCTCTGATTAATTCTGTACTTCTGTTCCCCCTTTCAGATCTATCCCGAAATAGATTTTGTGAACTGCCGGAAGAGGTGACAACGTTCGCTTTTCTGGAGACGCTGCTGCTCTACCACAACACGATCCGCAGCATACCGGAGTCGGTGAAGCAGCTATCCTCGCTGACCTATCTGGATCTGCGCAGCAATCAGCTGTCGTCGCTGCCACGCGAGATCTGCTTCCTGCCGCTGCAAGTGCTGCTCGTGTCCAACAATCGCTTGGTCTCGCTGCCCGACGAACTGGGACGCCTGGATCAGACCCTCACCGACCTGGATGCCTCCTACAATCAGCTGTCGGCCCTGCCGGCCCGTCTGGGGGAACTGCGAACACTGCGCTCGCTGTCGCTGAGGAGCAACCAGCTGATGTATCTGCCCCGAGAGCTGACGTGCCTCAGCCTGGTGTCGCTGGATGTGAGCAACAATCGGATCGCCAGCCTGCCGCTGGAGATACGCCACATGAGCACTCTGGTGGAGCTGCAGCTGGAGAACAATCCCCTGACCTCGCCCCCAGCCAGTGTGAGTAGAACATGGGATATATCCTTCCAGGAGTGCGTTTAATCCAAAGCCAAATTCATCCGTTTATAGCTCTGCATGAGGGGCCTGGTGCATGTGTTCAAGTTTCTGGAGACGCAGGCCACCAAAGACGAGAAGGGCTCCCGATCGGGTGGGAATTACGATGGCTACACCACGCTGCGCCGTGCCCCGCGCCACAATTCGAGCGGCAATGTCCTGGAGGCCAGCACCAACAGCAGCAGCAATCAGCGGCGGCATCAGATTGACTCCGGGTACAGCACCAGCGATGGCCTGGACAAGCGCTGGTCGCACGACAATCCGCCCAAGTCCAAGACAGACTCCCCCCTGCACTGCTCGATGGCCGCCACCCTGCCGCGGGCCGTGGCACCCAGCGCCATTCACATGCATGCCGATCTGATGGACGCCTCGCTCACGTCCAGCACCAGCACCATTGTCGATGAGAGCCTCACCCTCAGTCCCACGAACTCGCCCTGCAAGCTCAGCTACGCGCACTCGAACAGCTCCAGCAATGGCTCGACGCCGGACCAGGACGAGGACCTCATGATGGACCAGGACCCCCAGGAGCGGTCACTCCATGCCAGCAATGGCAAGTCCAGCAAGAGCCTCAACAACATTCAGACCTACAAGTGAGTGTGCAGGCAGCAATTCGGATTGATTTAGCATTACCCCCATGAAGTGGAGTAATAAAACCCTCTTCTGTCTTGACTTTAAAGTCCATAGAGATTACCTACAGAGCTCCGTTCGGTATATAGCTGCTAGAAACATAGTCTTTAAGTCTTTTGAAATCTTTTTTAAATTCACCCTTAATCCAAATTTGTGCTAGGAGGAGTCTTGAGATGGAAGCAGCAGACTAGGCAGAGGAAGATATTCGTATAGGATAGTCTGTCAGGGACCTACCTAGTAGCCTATGGGCCTGGTTCTTCATTCAGACTTTGTCTAGAGGGCGAAGAGACTGATAGCCAGATAGCAGAAGAGATATACTCATCTACAAAGAGAGAGCTCTAAAACCAGGGAACATTATTGGATCATCCTGTAAAATAATGTGCCATAATTCACTGATAGATTGTGTATTTTGTTATTGCATACTCGGTTCGAAAGCGAACACCAGCTGCGGCACCGGTCATGCCCTTTTGCACTTCTCGGTCCGTCTCGAGTTGTACAATTTTTCCAATCCGATGGATCTACATTACTACTTTTTTCTTAATATTTGGTTTTGCTGGTAAATTTTCAACTAAATTGAGTCCGAATCTTTCACACAGGGAATATAAAGAGGCGCTGAAACAGCAGCGCAACCAGGAGATCAGTGTCTACAAGCAGAAGCATCCGAATGCCAATCACAGTCCCAATGATGACGATGAGGATCAATCGCCACCAGCGCTCAATCCACATCCAACAGCTGGCCTGACCAACGGCGGCTCCAGCACACTGCCAAAGTCCATAATGAAACAATCGAGTCTGAATAGCAACCAAAATGGTCACAACGGGAATGGAAACGGGAATGGGAATGGAGTCGATGACGTTATTATACCAAAGAAACCCATACAGAAGGTGATACCCTCGCGGAATACGGAGATAAAGTCTGCATCGCCATCGGGAAACTCCAATGCCGCCGCCTCCGCTGATTGTCTGGGCTACGTGAAGCCCCAGAGTCCCATGAAGAATGGCACAAACAAATTCAATACGTCCAATGGTGGGGGAGGAGCCACATCTACATCGGGATCCGCCAGCACCACGAGTGTCACCATCAAATCCCCAGTGAGCACCGTCACCAAGCTGGGCACGGTGAAGACCCATCGCTCGGTTACATGGAACCATGACATACCCGCCGAGAAGCTGAGCTTTACGATGCGTCGGGAGTTTGATCGCCAGCGTGAGGAAACCGAATTGATGTCGCAGTTAAGGAGTGTACGTATTGGGGAATCGACCCTTAAACGATATTCAATAAACAAAACCTTCCTACAGATCATTGAAACACGGCTAAAGATGACGCTGCCCGTGGATATAGCCTCGGCCTTGACCGACGGCGTTATTCTATGCCATTTGGCCAACTATGTGCGTCCCCGTTCAGTGGCCAGCATCCATGTGCCGTCGCCTGGTGTGGTGAGTGATAATAAAGGATGAGGAGGACTCGTATCCCTTAATCAGTTAGCTAATTGTCTGTACTTCCTTGCAGAATAAGCTGACCATGGCTAGATGTCGCCGGAATGTGGACAACTTCTTGGAGGCCTGCCGTCGCATTGGCGTAGATGAGGTGCGTAGATGAGACCCATGACCCCGCCATAAGACAAGTTCCCTGTGTTCTTTCGTAGTACAGTGCGTTTCCAAGCTATGAGATCACCTAATGATAGGGAATAAACCTTAGGAAACAAAAGACATTATAAGAGAGAATTACTCAAACTCAGAAAAATCATTTAAATGATGGAAATATTCACCAAATGCAATCCGAATAGAACATTATCCATGCGAAACTTGTCAATGGGATACAAAATTGGGATGTCAGTCAATTGATGTCATAAGGGATTATTTTAGTTGAAAGAATACTACACATACATTATACACAAATAACTGATCAATCGGTTGTATTTATTTATTGTGATTTATTTTTGAATATTTGTATAATGTGTACATTCAATCGGAAAAAATTGTGTTTGCCAACCAATACGTGGTCCAAAGACAAAACATTGTAGCTGGATTTTATATCGTTAGACTTGGTTCCTCCTTGGTTCCTCCAAAGATAAACAAGTTGTCTGATATACGAATCTTAACCCTCCTGTCGCGAAGAGATGGAGATCTGATGAAATCCTAATATTTGAAGTTTGTAAGACGATTATTATTAGTATTATACAAACTATACGATTACATACCATATTTAGATTCATTCTATTCAGTCATTTGAGTAGTGCTATTCACTAAAGAGCACTCGCCGCGCCACTCCGTGCGCAATGTATTCAAACGGACCCGATATGCAACTCGATCGACGTATAACTATACTGAAGCGATCAACAATAACAGAAACAGAAACAACCGTAGTGGAGCAAGGGCACCAGAATGAGGCAGCTGCCGCCATCCAATCATCGGATGTGGCCTCTACCCACGAGAATTTCGCACAAGGATCCGAAAATGTACACATGAAAAAGAATACTATAAATTTGGACAAAAATGACAGTAAGCAGTAGGACAGTATCCACGATGAGGTCCGGAGGCGATAGTCAGGGTTCCCAGGGTGCCACAGCACAGCAGCAACACACAATGATGCCTAAAACTACGGCTCCATTGAAGGGTATCCTCGTTAGGAGTGGCAACCAGAACCCATATCCACTGAAGATTTTAAATGCCGGTCCAACTGACTCACAGAGTTCTGTGCCACTGCAATCGAATCCAGATGCCAATATACCAGTTTTGAAAAGATGTGAAGACTTCGATGGGAATGGTTCGTCTGTTCTGAGTAGGTTGAATAATTCTTCACCACTAAACGATAATCCAGATGTCGGTCCACAGCTAAGGACGATTTTAAAAAGATGTGGCAGCTCTAATAAGAAACGATCACCGAAAAAGACTCCAGAAGCCAGTCCGAGTCCGGGTCTGTCAAAGAAATCTTCCGAACTGATAAGGACTCCAATTTTAACAATATGTGGTGGCTCTGATGAGACTAAAACTGAGCGCAGTCCTTTGCCAAAGACGAATCGATTCCTCATTCAAATGTATATTTTGTGTAGCCGCGCCAACTGACTCTCATCTTGTTCAAACTGTTTTGTACAACTGTCTTGAAGCTTCGAAACGCTCTGTACTACTAGTCCTATTATATGTATATTTATTTCCTATCCTGTGTATATGAATTGTAGAGTTGTAACTGTAGAATCAAGGCTAGAGGTGGCTTTCCAATGAATGAAATGAATGTAGTTTAGTTTTTAAGGAAAACCTTTCCTACCCCACCCCCCCACACACACACACACAAGTACACTCTACACACACACACACCCACACATTGAAAAAACAAAAAACAAAAAACTGATGCATAAAACTCTGTTATTGGTGTTGGTTGCAGGAGTTGATTTGCTCCTGCGAAGATGTTGTGCCACAAATTGAACAACAATTGCCACGCGCTGACGATGACTATGATGCTGATGTATATGTCAATAATGATGATGGCATCAACGGCAGCAGCAACAACCACAACAACAGCTATAACAACAATCATAATAATGATGATAATGATGATGCTGGCGCTGGCCGAGTGCCAAACGCATTGGCCCTACTGCACACAGTGTCCGCTCTGATTGCCTTGGATGCGAATCCACATCATCAGCAGCACATACAGCAAGAGCTGCACCAGAGACTGCAACAGTTGAAGCATCAGTCGGTTGTTGTTGTGCAACAGCAAGAGCAACAGCAGCAGCAGCAACCAGAGCAAGAGCAAGAGCAATTAACTGAGACAACCTGCAGCCAACAGCAAGAACAGATGTTGCAGCAACAACAACAACAGCTAGACCATGTTTTATATGAGAATTGTGAGATAATCAATGGCAAAGAAGCTAATGCTAATGATGATGTTGATGATGATGTGGTGGGGATCCATCAAGTGGCCAGGCAGCAGCAACAGCAGCAGCATCTGATGGCAGTGGGGCAAATGCTGCGCACGGCCAAACAGAAGACCTTCGAGAAGATCAAGCACAATCTGCTCAGTGCCCATGGCCAGCACACCTTCCAGAGCAGCAGCAACAGCAGCAACAATAACAATCGCACATTGCACACCATCGTGGAGAGCGAACATGATGTGGCCACCGCTGGACCGGCTGGTCACTATCACCTCATCGACGAGAAGCAGAAGCAGCAGCAGTCCAAGTCGGAGGAGTCCAAGGATCTGGCAGCAGTCCCCGTTCCAGTCTCCGCTGCCGCAGCCAAGGAAGCCATCAGCAGGCGGATAGAGTTCTTCGAACAGCAGAGGAATGGCAAGCCCCAGGTGGAGGTCTTCAGCATCTATCGCATCGGAGAGGACAAACTGCAGCAGGAGCAGCTACAGCTGCAGCAGAAGAAACTCAAGTCCAAGGACAACGAAGCAGGAACTTCGTTGCTCAAGCACGATTCGCACACCCTGACAGTGGTCCTGTCGTGCGTCTTCATAGCCACCTTCCTTTGGCTTGTCTTCTTCCCGCTGCCTGGCTAACAATCACCCGTCTAAAAAGCTTAATTTATTTGCCTTGATTTTGCCCGTAGATTTAAGATTTAAGACAGAGCGCGCTTTGCCGCTTAGCAACTTGGTAGTGAGTTCCTGAGGCTGCTTTCTGTTTACCCTTACAGCTTTTGTATGTTTAAGTCGATGCTTTTACAACATTATGATGTATTTCTACTAGAACTAAGTCTATTTAAGGAAAACCCCCCCCCCAAAAACAGGAAACTTTTGAGGCATTTAATTGAGAGACAACCCAAAGACTTTGATATTGTATTCTTTGAGTCGTGAGGGGCATACACAATTGAGGTATCGACTGGACACTTTGATCTGTTGAGGTCTATTCACTAATGGAGTATACAAAAATAACCGAAATCTTAAGTTCCGTGAAACACGCTTTGAATGAAGTTTTTGTTCCTTTGAAACAATCTTTTTTGTACTTAATTTTATTTAGTTTTAGCAGAAGATCCACACTATGGGATCGTTTAGAAGAACAGAATGTAGAATTACTTAATACATAATACCTGAAGTTATCCTATCATTTTCCTTAGTTGTATGTCTCCTTAAAACTTTGAAACAATCTTTTCTGTTTCCATGTTAGTAAAAGATACATAAGAAAGCATTAATGGATTCAATTATAGGATTATTAAGATGTTCTGAAATGTATTTCCCACAATTAAAATAGGACACAAAATAGGTAATACCGGATGCTATCCTATCTATCATTTCCATTGTTTTATGGTAGATCTAGTTTATATTGTGAATAGAATGATAAGAACTTGTATCAGATCTGCAACTCACTCAAATCATACCTGACTTTAGCCACTTTTTGTTTGTATTTCCGCAGAATAGAAGAAGAATATTTAGGGTTGTACTATTTTTACCTGACTATAGCCAAAGTTAAGACATTTTCTTTAACTTACTTTAAACTAACAGGAAGAAAAGTTGTGTATGCCCCTTGCAGTAACTTTATAGATACCCACAAACAAACAAAAACCCACATATTCCTAGTTCATGTCTTAGTACTCATTGAACTCTAAATTGATTTAAGAACTATACAATCATTCGACATTTTCATTTGCCTAGACACGCGTTCGAGGCGTGAACTGAACTGAAATCTTAAAATACGCTTCACTTCATTAGATATACACTTATATGCATACCACATATACCATATATAGATCATGCAACGAAATTAAACTTGATTAAGTTCCACTTTGGCTAAAGACAAATGAAAAACCCCTAAGAAAATCGAAAATTGTGCATAGCTATAGTTAGGTTATACCATAAATAAGAGTTATCCATAGTTGTAGACGCAAAGAAACGGTTGGATGGTAAAGAACGGGTATTGTTACAGTTTGGAGAGCGACGAGGGCTCTAGTAGCCCTGCCAGTACTGAGCTACTGGCTGGAGTTGGAAGTTGTACGGTTTTACTTGAAGCAGGGACACACAAAATAGTTGTAGAAAAGCGTGAAATAGTTATAGAATGAAGCGATTAATCAATAACCAACCAATGTACCAATTTCAAACCCTGAATGGTCCAAGAACCATCTTAGAAATAACAGAAAGTTTACCAAATCAGATACGATATATAGAAGTTCTATAGAAGTTTTTCAAAGGCGCACAAGAGAAAAGAGAAATCATTCAAGCTGGTTGCCTCTCATTTTGAAATGAAATCAAATCTATAAAAAGAAAACCCTCACATATAGAATAACACTTAAAACAGAAGAAGAATCAGAAAATAGTGCCTTTGACTGGAGATCGACGACAGTCTAGTCTGTTCTGTCTGTAACTATCATAACTATAGCTATATCGTATCCACCTGGATCTATGGCAGTCTTTTTCCTTCTCAAAAGCAATAATTCAAATGAAAAACTTCAAAGAACTGAACGCTTTTCTTCATCAAATATGATTTACTATAACTATGTTAAAGGACAAACTAAAATAATCTTCAATTTGTGCTAATTACATTCCTAACATTGTAAATTAACATTAACAATTATTTATTTAAATTAAACTTGAGGAAAAAATCTCGATGAAGAAGTAAATTGAAAGCTAATCAAATTTCTACAAGAAGCACAATCTCTAACTCTCAGAAAAAACATATAATATATATATACTAAATCCAGATTTATATATTTTGTCTAACAAAATTATTAAAGGATATATGTAGAACCAGCATTGAGGCAGCTATAAGAAATGCAAACCATAATCAGTCATTAATTTTTATAAACCAATATTTAACACACAAATACACAGATATACATTTATATATACAAAAACAAACATATATACATACAACCTGATTGTAGGGTTATGGTATTGCCAAGGTTTTTTTTTTGCAAAAAACTCCAAAACGAAAAATTGTAGCCAAACATTTTTGTCTTACTTCCAAACCAAAAAAAAAACAAGGAAATGAAGATAATGCGAGCGAATGAAAACTGTTGCATTTATTATTAAGCACAAAACTGTCAGAACTAAGCGCTATATAAAATCGTCAAATCAAAAAGCAAAATATATACGAACAAATTATGTACCAAAACTTTTCAAACGCTCTTCAGCAGTTTTACAGCCACTGTTGTGAGGGAAATTGTCGGTAAGCTAAGACACCAACCAAATGAAAGGGAATTTCCCTTAGCCAAGACACGCTTCTCCTCTAGTGGTTGAACAACTGTGGATTTCTTTTGGCAAAAAACCAAAAATGCTTTAATTATTAAGATATTTTCATAAAAATTAACTTTTATTTGTGAATTATTTTTTGTAGAATCTCATTTGCTGCGCTGCCGATGTGTTGGAGGGGAAAGGTGCTGTCCAGGTGGCCATCACGGTCGGCGAACTCTTTCGGCTGCATGGCTCTGGTGCCGTTTGTGGTGCTAGTGGTGGCGGTGGCAGTGGCAACAGCAGCGGAGCAGCCACACCAACCAAATCCCCAACTAGGATGACACGGGCCACCATGTCGCCAACGCCGATGGCCTAGACGGTGAGGAGGAGGTCCTGCTCACTGAAAGGATGAAGTATTTCCGATCATCTACTTATGGATAGCTGAAGAAAAGGGTTTCCTGATGGCCGCCATACACATAGTTATAGATACACACACACTTAATTCATACATACATTATTTGAAACCCAAATGTGTGATGATTTGTTGATATTTCTCCCTCACTTATGTATTTTTCTAGGTTTGTAGTTTATTTATGTACATACACAACAAGAAAACACTCACTCAAAACAAAAACAAAAGGAAAAAACCAAAAAAACACTCAACACAAACAAATTTTAAATGAATTTCAGTATTTGAAATTGTAGAAGTCACAAGTTATTTATTCGAGTTTCGTTTTGTTGTTTGAGAGCCATAGCTAGGGTCTAGCAAGCACTGAAAATGTGTTCTAATCTGTTATACTTTCTTTGTCATACCACATACATACATATACGAATTTTTTGGCCAAAATTTCGACTAGCGATTGAATAGCATACTGAATACTGTTTTAAGTATATCCCAAATACAAAAACATCCAAATATAAAGGTATATGCATCGGGTATATATATGCATACATACATATATTGTGACTAATCATATAGCATATTTATTATGTAGCTTAGCTGTAGACCTACGATTAACTGTGGTACATCTTTTCTACCAGCTCCGCATCATTTATACGAATCGAATTGTATTAGACACATAAGTCTTCGATTAAACGAGTACACATCCATTATATATCAAATAAAAACTGAGAAATTGTCATACGTAAATGCTGTCGTTCCATAGGTTGTTTCTCTATGGGTACCATTTTTATGGGATTATCATTATAGGTGGAATAGTCCTCCCTTTCGTGAATTGGTGAACGGCCGGTTGTTACTTCTTTGATGGGAAAAGAGAGATGTAACGGACCGTGCGGTATGGGAACAGCTGGAATATTTGCCATTAAGTGGAAACAGGATAGACGGAGTGCAGGAACATATTGTATAAGTGTAAAGTCGCGGCACGTGTTCTTCTAATCCCAAAGTTTCGACTGGTTTTATTCACTTCTGGTAGCTTGTTCAACAAAATTGGTATAAGAAATTCCAGATCTAAATGGAATACTATTTTATCAATCCTATTCATATTCAATAATTCCATAGGGTTCTATAAGAGAAGAAAGCTAAAACTCCACCTAAAATTGGCCACAAATATTACTAAAGAATATTCCCAAGAAAGAGCCACGTAAAGGTTGCTTCCCCGCTCCATATTCTTGCCTCCTATTCGGCAGAAATGATTATCAACTAACCTTATCTAATGGGGGAAACTCATTTTCGTCAGCTCCAGCAACCACCTAGAGTTTCAAAGGGTTCCCAGAACTCCACCCTCTCCCCAACCAACCGACCATCCAACCACCCCTATCGGCAGATAGCCCACCCCAGTTTTTGGGGATTCTTTGTTTTTTTGGCGCTGGGCGTGTAAATAAAAATCACTTGATGCGATTTTTATGATGTGCGTTAAATGATTAAACCACTTGAACTGGTTTCAAATTGTCAAAAAAAAAGATCTTAGTTGGGGAGGAGGGAAAAGGTCTTTATCCCTTTGTTTTCTTAGCCCCATTTTTGGGCTTTGTGTGGGTTCCGTTTACGCTTGGGTGTGATTAGATGGGGAATGGGGTTAAGGATAGAAATAGATATAGAGATGGGACAGGGACAGCGACAGCGACTATCTCTCGTGTCCGGAAGTTTTCGGCGCGTGTAAGTTAATTAAATGTGTAAACATGTCAAAGGGATCAAGTTTTGTGAGACCCTCCCCGAAGATGGTGTTGATTTCGGATCACGCCACTTGATTGGCTTTGATTTTCGAGACTCAACAAAAAACCAAAAAAAACGAGGGGGAACGTTGTGAGTTGCTGCGGACACCGCAACTCTACAGTTATACCCGATACTAAGTCAGTATGGCTCTCCTCCGGCAGACGCCGCAAATATTAAACGACACGACAAAGAATGCGTGCGAGAGAGACAGAAAATCAGTCTGAGCGTGACGTCGGGCGCTGCGTAGCCAATGCAAATTGATTTGTTCCTTTTGATTGATGATTCTATGATTCTGCGTTTTTAGTTTTCTCGAATCTGCAATATTGTGGATGCAACAGATTTTCGTCCTTTGTGGGGGCGGATGAGGGTGGGGCGAAATTCTGAGATATACGTTTTATAGTGACATCTTAAAGGAGTGTGTGTACCAAATTTGGTTACTCTAGCCTTAATAGTCTCTGAGATTTGTGGTTGCCTCAGATTTTCGTCCTTTGCGGGGGCGGAAGGGGGTGTGGCGAAATTTGGACATGAAACGGTCAAGGTTCGATATCACAGGAGTGTGGATACCAAATTTGGTTGCTCTAGCTCTTATGGGTTCTGAGATCCTTAAACTCATATTTTGCAATTGGCAAAACCGACTATGAAACCTGTGTGTTAGAGTGAGACAGAGCGAGAAAGAGTGAAATTGTTTTCGTGATTCTGGCTGTAATAATTATACGATCTGGTTCAGATTTTGCACTCTGTAAGATATAGTCATCTTCTACGATTCTGCGATGTGGATGTCATTCTGTGGATGCCACAGATTTTCGCCCTTTGTGGGGGCGGAAGTGGGCGGGGCAAAGTTTTGAAATATTTTTGGAGCAGTGACATATCACAGAAGTCTGGGTCCAAAACATCGTTACTCTAGGTCTTATAGTCTTTGAGCATTAGGCGCTGAAGGGGACGGACAGACGGACGGACGGACAGACGGACAGACGGACGGACGGACAGACAGACATGGCTCAATCGACTCGGCTATTGATGCTGATCAAGAATATATATACTTTATGGGGTCGGAAACGATTCCTTCTGGACGTTACACACATACACTTTAACCACAAATCTAATATACCCCAATACTCATTTTGAGTATCGGGTATAAAAAAGAGAAAAAGCTGTCCAGCTAATTGGAGGAAAGAGGCTGGCTGTCAGGGGAGGATTCTCCTCCCGCGAAACGCATGCAAATTTTGCCATTTTAAAGTTTTCCAGCGGCCATTGAAATGGATTCAGTTTTCCATTTTGCCGCGATGAGGGTGGAAAATTCCGCTCCCAGAAGTTTCCATTCTCTCATTTGTTACATTTTTATTTATTCTATGTTTTTTTTTGTTGCTATTTCTTATATTGTTTACTCGACTGTCTTGGGGCCTTGTCGTTGTCGTTCTCGTCCTCGTCCTGTCTCCGTTCCTGCGCTGCTTGTCGTTCCCATTTGTTTCTTGAGCAAATATTGAATTTGCGCTTTTTTCTGTACGAGAGCTACGAGTTATTTGCCGGAGCAAGTGGCCCACACTTTTCAGACTTTTCATTTCGGACTGGGGCCCTTTTTCGCCCTTTGTTTCGCCTGTTTGCTTAATTTTTGTATGCGATTTCCCTCATCTACTTTTTTGCTCATTTCATATTTTCATTGTAATTCAATTGTGCGGCTCCCGCCAGCTCCTGCTCCTCCTCCTGCCGCTGCTGTTGTTTTATGCCAAATGTTTGCTCAAGTCTTATGTTCTCTATGCTCTGCCCCCGACACAAAAAGGGGTGTGTCGCCGCCTCCCCTGACTATCTCGCAGTCGTTGTCCTCCTACGAGTCTTCAGCAAATTGAAATTCAAAGCACCAAATTGTCAGCCAGTCACGCAGAAATTTAACATATGCTCGCCATATAATTTGCGAGCACTTTTCATTTGCCCGAGACCTCGTCCGAAATTGCCAGAGTCTGCTATCTAGTCGAGTATCTGGCCGGGACAGATGCGCACGAACAAAGGCAGTTTAATGACATATTCGTACTCTTATGTTATAGTCAAAAGTTATAGTCATTTTTATAGGATTTTAAAGTTCTATATAGGATACATTTTATAGACCAGATACATGCTCGTAATCAATGCGTGCAGGCGGGATAGAAAATGGTTAGGAAAAATTGGAAATCAATTGATTTTTGTAATATTAAAGCCGATTTGGAAATAATAATGAATTTTCTGAGATTCTTGTCTGGTTATAAAATGGAAAATTGATCACTAAAAGTACCCATGCCTGTTGAAACAGTTTACATACGAAATAAAATAATTTAGGTGTGTTCAAACCTATAACAATCCTTGAAATCGTATCCGATTTAACAAATGCCCACCAAAGCTCAAGAGAGCGACTTTGGAGCACTCAAAGGCATCCAACATTCCAACATTGTTGCGAAAGCATAAAGAAAACTTAATTTTCGTTAGTCCTGCCAAGGACCCAGTGATTAATGGTGCCAGCGCCACGACAGTATTATGAAAACGCATTCGAAAATTTCATTAAATTGTTATAAATGAAGTGGAGCAGAGCAGAGCGGAGTAGAGGGGCTAGAAGGGGAAATAAAACATTTCTCGGGACGGAATTCAATTTGCAAATGCAGCTAGCGAAATCTATCAAACAACAAGTTGAATGAAATCTGTGGCAGGCGATCTCCAACCACCCGAAAAACCCCCCTCCAGAATAGCCCCCGGGGCTTATCAACCCGCTTTGACCGGCCACGGGACCAGCTCTCGCCGGAGTTCGGGACAGCTTAGGGCATTTTGAATATGGTCATGCAATTGAAATTTCCTGCTGCCTCCTGGTCCGCTCCCTCTTTGGGTTTGAAAAGCGAAATAGCTGGCAGCCATTTCAGTCCTTTTTTCTTTTTTGTTGGTCTTTGGGAATGGACAGACGTCGTCTGCACGGGACTGATAACATTCAAGGAGTCCTGAGTCCCTGCCTCAGAGTGTCCGCCAATTATGGGAGAGTGCTGGCATCGATAGGCCTCAGCTCTGGGCCTCATACATCCGTTTGATGTATGTTCGAGTGTGTGGAATGAATGGCCTGCAAATTAAATAGGGTAAACACACTCTCTCGTTGAGATTTAATTTCTGCCCAGATTAAAAATGTATTCGTACGTAGTGCTTCGAGAGCTTCAGGCTGAATGAATATAGTGGAAATGTGGGGGAAATTGTGTGTATGGAAAACATCGTAAAGTCATCTGCCATTCCTCTGGTTCGAAAACGGAATGAAGCCAAAGATGATATATTTTATAGATTACCAAATATATATATCATCCTTTTATTGTCTATTCTTAATTATCTGTTCAAAAGTTTTTCTACAGCTATCGGAGGGTGGTAACAGGGAAAACTTTTCCCATTTTTCGACTAGTTTCCAAGAGATTCCACCTGTGTATGGCTCCAAAGAAATTAAATTACATTACAAATTTATTTTTAAAAGGTTCGAAATTTTCTGTTGACAAAAGATTTTTACGCAAAGCTTTCAAAATTTTAAATTGATCCAAAAAGCAACAATGTCGGCAATACCTTGAATTTGATCTTTCTTGGCAAGAATCAGCTATCTTGTGGATCCAAGGACATCCGATGCGACCAAAAAGTTGCTGGTAAATGCCAACCGGACAACTCCTGTCGGATCGACCGGGCCCAAAAACGTTCCAATCTACTCGTGGAGCTCCAAAGACTTCGTAAGCTCCGACACTTCATGAATGATTTGGCCAGCTGCAAGACATGGAGACCAAGACGGAGAACCACAGAGATGGTTCCCATCTAAAGCGAAATGATCCTGAGGCGGGACTGGACGAAAGGCGGGCTGCTCAAGCCGTTTCGGTGGTGCATCAATTTAATCTGGAGAAGCCACAGAAGTCCCTCCACTGGCTTGAGGCACTAGGGGGCTCTGAGTCCGCCACGGCGCTGCATGCCGGCTCTCCTCTCTCTCCTCCAGAGAAGCAGCACGGCACAGACGACGTGGAAGCTGCGTCCAGGTTCCAGCTGAACGCGGCCCAAAAGAACAAGGACCTTCGACACTCCACCGAGTACCGTCAAGCTATTTTGTTGGAACTGTAAGCGGTACAAGTCAGTCGCAGATGTGTTCGGTCGCTTTTGTCTTTGGTTAAAAAATTTGAAATTTATATTGCTAAATTTTGATCTAACTCGAACGAAATACTTTTAATTTTGATGTGTTTTGTGTACGAATAGTAAGACAGTAATGTACAAGTTTGCTATGAATGCTTATCGTTTATAAAATAAGAGAAGTCTTAAAAATATATTTAGAACAGTATAAAATTGGAACTTGACAGCTTTCCCCTAACCCTTCATTGGAAGATATTTAGCCCCTGCTCGGCTCCCACCCAAAATCCTCCAGCCTACAGGGGCATCAGTCGTCCTATAAGCCTTGGTAACAGCTTGGTGTCGACTGCTGTCCATCTACTGCTGATCCGCTGTTACTGCTGTTCACCACTGCTCCCTCAATGGGCCAGCTTGCGCACTCCTTATACACATTTCATATGGCAGCCATTTAAAACTCAAAGCGAGAACGCGACCTTTCCATAAAGCTCGATCGGCGAATCATATTGGATTGCACAACGCTGAAATTGTCCGTGGCCGTCTGTTTGTTCATCATGACATTGGCCGTGTCGTAGATCTCCTTGAGGTCCAAAGGGACCGGCTCTAAGGAAAAGCTATCGGACAGGCAGCTGAATGCCCCGACGGAATCCACGGGCTGCACACCCGAGCTGCTGGTCCACTGACGGGGCTTCACCATTGTGGTCGTGGTCTCCGTCTCACCAAAGTGAAAGGCTTTCAAATCACTGAGCATCCGCTCATAGGCAGAGATGCACTGCTTCGTGGCCTTGGCTATGGAGTGTGGATCATAGCGATCCGTTTTGGGCTTGGATTTTCCTTTTTCCTTGCAAAACTGGTGGTTGCGTTCCAGCCTGAAGTTGGGCGCATAGATGTCCGTTGTGGGCAGCTGGGACTTCTCCGTCAGCAGGTTGTTGGCCATGATGCGGCGACAGAAGTATGGCTTTGGCTCGAAGATCTGATCAGCACGAGCGTGGCGGCAGTGGCGCAGGATCCAGGCCTTGTCGCTCGGACTGCCAACGTAGATGCTGCTGGCGAATGGCGGCGGTCGATCCAACAGCCAACCCGTTTTCGGATTGTAGATACCCTCCTCCGCATCGTAGCAGTCCTTAAGGACGCGACGTGACTTTATACTGCTCGTCACATAGGCGGTCGGACCCACGGGCGGCTGGTTGTACCGTCGCTCGGCCTGGTAGCGTCGGTCCTTGGACGTCAGATAGTCCCAATCCGAGGAGTCAAAGTCGTTGCCAGCGAACTGGCCCTGGACATGCAGTCCATCGGGGAACCACATGTCCTCGATGCTCACTAGTTTGCCATGCTCGAACACTCCCTTGATGGTGAAGCGATAGGGCTGCGCCAGGCGCAACTGGCCGAACCCATGGAACTGGCCATGATGGAACCGGCCGCGATACTCACTCCCGTCCGGATAGTTATAGGTGCCGAAGCCATCCATCATGTTTACCTCCTTGTTCCAGGCTCCTTCGTAGCTGCTTCGAGTAATGAAGTGCCTCAACGGCACCTTCTCGCCAACCGTCGACATCGCCGTGTGGACACATCAATGTCCCCGGCACTGGTGCTTGAAATTCGCTTTCTCTGATAGCACTGTATGTAAAATTGTGTATCGGATTAGTTCCGACAAACTGACACAAACATCTGATCCACTTGGACTGGCCTGGATTGAGATTACCCATCTGCTTTATGAATAGGTGTTAGCCATGAATATGAATTCATATATTATATGCGCTTCATGGAGTTCTAGGTTAGGTTTGGTTCTCAGATGCGGTTGTAGAGGGCTGGTCTTTTCCCTCCGGCACTTAAGGAGGAGCTCCGAGCTCCTTTAAGGTGTTTTTGATTGTTTGAAGGCGGGAAGGGGCTAGTCAATCCGGCCCAGGGAAGCTCTATTTAAACTGGAGGTCGGCAGGTATCCATAGTCTGTATATTAGCGACCGAGCAAACCCTCGGACATGTATCCCTAGGCATATGACAGTGTCACCATGGATTGGGGTAAATTCACTAAGAGTTTCCTGCTCTCCGCCCGACTACCATTAGCCAGCATCCTGGCAGAGGCATGACCGTATCAGGACCTGTTTCCAGGTCACGGTGAGAGTATTGTCGATTTGGGGCACATTTTTCATCATTAATTTATTCACTAAGCTCTTCTGAAGGTTCAAGAACATATTCGAATACCATATCATTGTTTCTTTCTAATCATTTTATTTAAAATAAATGTATTTTTGCGAGAGACCAAGATTATTCACCTAATTTATTGGCACACTTCCCATTAAAACATCTTTATCAGAGACTTGACTTGCTCAAGCGATTTCAATGGCATACAACTGGGAAAACATGAAATACTTCCACAGCCCCACAGCTTCCACGCCGGGTATATCGAAGCGAGAAGAACAACCACCGAACCGAGGAGCATATGACATAACTATGTGTGAATTGATGGCATAAACCCTTCCTATCCTTTTTTTTTGTTTTGCAAAATACGTGCCCCTGCCTCATGCCACACATTTAACTGCCCTAAACGAATCAGAGTGCGGCAACTCGGTGCGACGGGACACGTGGTTGGGGGTTGCTAAAAAAGGATTTACACGCTTGCCTCAATATACAAATAAGGGTTTCTGTCTGGGTTGTGCCACTGCCGTATTGACTGTCACCGGGGCCCCGAAGATGAAGTGATTTCTTATCCAACAAATCCACACTCAACATCCCAACCTACAAACAAAAAAAAAGGGGTTGATGGTGTGGGTCCGTCCTTCCGTCCGTAGTGGATGTCCTTTGCTCCTCGAGACCCGGCGTTTGCCAGGAAGTTTATTAAAAAATGGTCGTGTTTGCCTTTGACGCGTGGCTGGCAAACGGTTTCGAAGCGGGCCAAAGGAAATCAGTTAACTAAATATCTGCTTCAATATTTATTTAGGGAGCTTCTAATGAGATTCAAGTATGTGTGTGTATGGCACACGACAGCAAACCTGGAACGATAACTAATTGAATAATAAGCTAAATGGGTCTGAAAATATGGTGGGTGAGAGATGGGTAAAATAGTATTAGAATACTTAAGGAAATATATATTTTACTACTTATAAAAGTACGAATATATGTGCTATGGTTAAATTTTAGAAGGTTTAATTCGATTCCCGGTTCTTAAAACAATTTGAATGCCTACAAATAAGACGAAACTGTACCGAATATCTGGAATTCCATGATCACAGATTGTAGGGAATTCATGCAAGGCTCTACGAGTATTAGGAAGGGGAAAAACAATCATGATTCAGTTGGATTCGATAGGATTGAAATGTCTTCACATTTTTAGGGGATATATCTATCATTTATCACATGTTCCAAGGCTTATAAGGACCCTTTATACCTTTATCTTCATATATTATTATCATATTATATGTTACCTTTAATCAATTCCTTTAGCATAATAAACACACACCATTATTTAATAAATACATTTTCCAGAATATTGAATTTTTATTGAATTTTGTTTAATTTTAGGATCTAAGTGTGTGTTCAAGATCAATTTACAATTGGACATCGTACAACAATATCAGTATATCAATATATACTCGTATATTATATCAAATACAACTAGGGGTAGTTCCTTGGTGAATGTGGATCGCATATTGGATGCCGGATACAATTTACACACAACAGATACACAGATACATTGGCTATAGCTAGGAACTCTGCATGCATGCAGATGCAGATACGAATAGGTATAGGTATATAGAATTACATAAATTCGTAATGGATTTCTGATACGACTGGCTATCACCTAGGTTCCTCTATATATATCTTTATCTATATCTTCATCTATATCTATATCTATGGCTTGCTTTGATATGGAGAAAGAATGGAATGTTGTGGAAGATTTTGGAGATACAGCGACTACGACTATTAGCTGACTATGTACATGGCTGGGTAGGGGGAAGGGAGGGATATTCACTCGCCAGAGCTGATGGAGCTGCCGCAGAGGGAGCCGGAACCAGCCTCGAGGTGGACATTGGACATGTTCAGGGCCTGCGGTGGATAGCCGAAGGCGTGGCTGCTTAGCGGGGTGCCCGTCGGACTGTCCAGATCGAGCGAGGGATTGATGCGCTTCTCCTTCTGCCGGCGGTTGCAGAACCACACCCGCACCACCTCCTTGTCCATGTGTAGGCGGTCGGACAGCTGGTTGATCTCCTCGGACGTGGGCTTGCAGTTCATATTGAAGGCCTTCTCCAGCGTGGTCCTTACGGTCGTCTCGATGGAGGTGCGCTTCTTGCGCCTGCGTCCCAGTATGCTCTCGGGCGTGTTGGACAGATTGGTGGTCATTGTGTTGATGTTGAACACCCCGCCGCCCGACTTGGCCACACTCGTGTCCGCGTCCTCCAGCCACTTCTGCAGCAGCGGTTTCAGCTTGCACATGTTCTTGAAGCTCAGGTTGAGGGCCTCGAACCGCGAGATGGTCGTCTGCGAGAAGTCGTTGCCGTACAGCTTGCCCATGGCCAGGCCCACGTCGCCCTGGGTGAAACCGAGCTTGATGCGGCGCTGCTTGAAGGTCTTGGCGAACTGCTCCAGCTCCTCCAGGTCGGTGGTCTCCTCCGGCGACTGCTCCAGCTTGGCCATGGCCGAGGCCACTGTCATTCCGCTGGGCGGTTTCGGAGTGCTCGTGGATGTGTGCTGCTGCTGGTTGTGCATGCTCGGGGTGTTCGGCGTCATCACGGCACTGCTCATTCCCAGGCTGTTGGCGGACATGGAGTTCGGTGGCGTTCGCTGCTGGGACTTGCTGTTGTGCCGCGGCACTGGACTGAGGGAGGGACTCCTCAGAGGAGACTTGCTCAGCGGGGTGGAGTAGTTCGGGGGATGGTGGTGGATGGAGTCCTCGCGCTGCTGCTGCTTGAGCTGCTGCAGGGCCTGGAACTGTGCCAGGGCCTGCAGGGAGTTCTGCAGCAGGAACTGGGAGGCCAGATTCGGATTCGGAAAGGCCTCTGGGGCCAGCTGGCGAACCATCTCGATGTAGCTGTGGAGCTGCAGCTGCAGCGCCTGCTGCATGTTCCCGGGTGCAAAGTCAAGCAGCGGCTGCTGTGGCAATGCTCCGGGCTCTGGCTCTGGTTCCGGCTCCTCCTGGGGCTTCGTTTCCACCTCCAGGGGTGTGGTCAGGGCCATTCTCTTTGGTGGCGGCGCCAGATTGAGCACTTCGTTCTCCAGCTCTGGATCGAGATCCCTGGCCTGCCGCTTGCTGCTCAGATTCTGGGGCATCTCGCACTCGATGCCCAGCTCCTGTTCCTCCTCCTCGAAGCTCTTGCCGCAGTCTGTAAGTGAAAAAGAGAAGAAGGCTTCCATGAGATATATGTGTCTTTATGTGGACTGAGATGGATGTAGTTTGCTTTCCAATTTTCCAACTCAATGAAGTTCAAGTAGCCAGCAGTCGACTACGGCACGGCACACGCGTCCGTCGCATAATTTCATTTTAACCAAAAGACTGTACAAGTTTTTCAATATTTCTTGAGCTATTTTCGAGGGCATGAAAAGGGTATGCTGAATTTGTGGATGGATAAAAGAATGGATATGTTGAGTGGCAGCCACGAGTCAAAAATCCTATGACAGATCTTACAATTCTCTCTTAAATCCATTAATGGTTTTGGGTATAGGCACTGAAAATGCCGAGTGAAAATTATGAGAGTGCGCAGAACCATCAAAGAGCGGTTTGGGAATATTTAAAAAATATTTTATGTGTATTTTCGGCCCACAAACTAGTTTTAGACATTCTTTTCAAATCTCCTGAATGACATTCTAACATACAAACATATTACCAAAATAGAATAAAGTTTTTTAGATTTTAATATATGAAAAAAGTCTTCAAACTGCCATTAATACCAGGGAGTACTTTTAGTATTCCCCATCCTAAGCCACTTGCCACAATTCTCTCCTTTTTTTGGTAAGTGTATTCCCCTCTTCGACTTTTTCTTTATGTTCCTTTCTTCAGCCTTTTTAAGGCAAATTTTATTCAATCTTCCAATTGAATGGCCATCCTTTTGCTATCCTGTCCAATGTCTGCGTCCTGCGGTTAGCTACGATAGACGCTCAAGCGGAAGGGTTCGGTGTTTGGCCTTTGTGGACCAGTCCTCCCCGCCCCCCCCTCCAGGCCTGCCCCCGAGTTCATGTTGAAAACCCAATCATGCATAATAATTGAAAAATAGCCCAACATCAGAGGCCACATGGAAGTCGGGCAGGCAGTGTTTTCGGCAGGAAAGGAAGCTTTCTCCGCCATTTGTCTTTTGTCTTTTTCTATATGCGCAGCAGAGGTCGGATTTCATAATTTTTCTAAACGGAAAATTATTGATTTTGAGGAGGGGGGGACTTTGACGAAGATGAGAGCATCCGACAGGAGAAATATGAACCAAAGATCATAGAACCCTAATTTATTTATCCGGAAATTAAGTAAAGAAAATAAAGGTTTGGAAGATAAAGAGTTTTACAAAAGCTTTAGATGATATTTTTGAAATTTATTTGAAACAAAATTAAGCACAGAATCATTCTAGAACTTTTTTTTACCGCTTATCACCTTAAACCGCTTTCCAGTATCATCGGAAAACCCTAACAAACGTTTCCATGGCAAAGAACAAGAACAAGGCAACAAATTAAACGTTTTAAACCGATTTAAACAGTAGATATGATAGTTTTAAGCGGATAGGATATTCCACCCCGACGTGAGATCAGACCTGCTGCCAGAGGCTTACGAATCGGGTGTTTCGGATGCGGGCAATGGAACTTTAAAATCTCATATGGGGGCAGCTGTTTTTACGACTCCAGGCAAAAGTTGAATCCGCCATAACATAATTAGGCCAAAGGAATCGAATCGGAAACCAGTCAAAAATGGGAATCATCTAAGGGTTAGGCTAGGCAGAGGCAAACCCAAAAATTTGTCACCCTTTTTGCAACCCCCGGTTGTAGGATTTGGATTTTAAACAATTCGTTACAAATGCTGCAACAATCGTGAATGCACGAGCTGTCTCGGGCATACATTTTTTGGGAAACTGCAACTTGCTATTGGCTTCCAACAGAAAAGGGTTCAAAGTTGCATTGTTTTTGCCCGCAGAGAAAGGAGGAAAGTCAAGAAGCTGCTGGAGCAAGTTGCCCCAGGTTCAGGGGCCCAAGAGAGACGGGCATCCGATCCTTTGTGACGGGGAATGCGCCTGCAGCGATCCCCGAAACCCCGAAATACCGAAACCCGAACCAGGTGATGTCTGTGTCTGTGTCTGTGTCTGGGTCCATGGACCACGAGCAGATGTGTTCTCCTGCTGATGGTGTCCTGCCCGGTCCTGCCACAATGCCTCAATGCCTCAATGTGTGAACGTGAATGTGTTTCCACTGACAAATGAAGTGTTGCCCGCTTTGTTTCTCTTTGCTATTCTGTACTCTTTTCTCCCCTGCACACTTTCAGGGGTGGGTTTTTCCAGCATTCGCTCTGGACTCTGGACTCTGGCAGGGAGTAAAGTGCGTTCCGATTTATGGGAAAGATATGGCCAGCGAGATGCAAAGAGAGAGTGCACTGCGAGGAGGGGGAGATTAGCAATCCAATTATTTTTTTGGGTATATCTCAGGCATTTTATCTGCATATGAGTAGTGGAAAATGGATTAGATATTGGAAAAGTCTGCCATGAATTGAAGGTTTTTTGGTACAGAAATCTTCTACAGAATGAATCTCATTTCATATGCACCTATCGAAAGGCAAAACCCTCTCCTTTCCTGTAAATAACTCCTTTTACTCCCGTCTAAATTATGCAGAAAGTGCATTAAGTATTACTAATCATAAGTATCATTCCATATATTACCTTTTATCAAAAAAAACTACCTTCCAAAACAATTCTAGAGCCTCTACCCATATAATACCCTTTGGCACTTTCATTACCCCCCACTTAAACCCTTAATCAACAGCTCGTCATGCCTTTCGGCTACCTCAACTCCTTCATTATAAAGGAAAGCATATGGAATCGCTTTAGAGCGATGTTCCTGCTTGTTTGCATGCCACACAAAACGCCCTCGAAACGCCCCCGGGAGGAACTTTAAAGAACAGAGTACGGAACACCCAATCAAAGCCGTCTGATTATAATATCCTTCATCGAATTACCGCAATTAACTTCACGCAACCAAATCCTTTCAATTTGAATAACGGCAAGCACCCAGGCAGGAGGGGAGAGAGTCGAGGCCCAACAAGTGGCACTCGAAAGAGAAAAAAAACAGCAGAGGGTAACCCTTCGCTGTGGGTTACGTTACCCCTGGCACAGGGCTTCACACCTCAACGCTATTCAAATGATATGTTAAACGGGGTTCCGGCTCGGTTGTCGGATCAACAGTTTGCCCTTCTATTGTAATGATATTCTGCCACTTGAGTTTTTTAGCGGCCGCAGCAAGCAACCCTTTTTTGTGGATAGGATTCCCTTCCATTCCCCCCGCCCCGTTCCCTGCGATGTTGTGACACATTTGAATATGCATAATGGGCTGGAAGGGTGCTAAGGGTGCTGCCCCCTCCCCCGGATTGATTCGCATAATTTGTGTAAACCAATAAAAATGCAAGTTTAATTGTCATCCTACTATCGGATGGCATTCGGCAACCCTATTAACGCGCCTCGTATTCAAATGGGGTGGCATGCCCCTTGCATGTTTTGCATAGATTAGTTGCACTTTGTTAGGGGTTGTCCCGAGGGTTCGGGTCCTGACATAATAGCTCTGGCAATCGGAGGAAAATTTACATTTTGACAAATTGTTGTTTCTGTTTTTGTTTGTTTATTTGCGTGCCGAAGAGGGTCAGGCGAGGGGTCAGCGAGGGTGGGAGGCAGCAAGGTCAAAAGAGCATAGGACCTACATAAGAAGGATCATCTTCCATGTAAATTTATGTGTATATGCAATCTGCTGTTTTGGGGGTTGTTTCAAACGGGGTCTGCGGGGCGGCTGTGTGGGTGGAAACGCGAATGATTTGTGGCGGTTTCAATGGAAATGACCGAAGGGGAAACAATGGTGGAAATTTATAAATTTTGGTAATTTTTGAAATTGAACAGGCACAGTTTTCCATATAATTAATTATGGGGAAATAAATTAAGAAAATTACTGAAAATTTTCGCTTTGCGAGTACTTTAATATTCGAAATTCTGCAGCTCTAACTTTACTCCAGGAATATTCAGTTGATTCGTTAGGGTAGCCTCGAGTATCTCCACTTCAATCCCACCCTTGCCTTCTTTGCTACTTTTATGATCTTTTGGCAAGCCCAAAGCCTTCTTCTGGCCTGACCTCAGACACACTTCAGTCACGTGCTGGCCAGCAACACCTATATCTATCCATCCATCCATCCATATAGGTACCCCTAAACCTAATGCCTTATTACCACTGCCAGACCCAACTCCAGCCTCACTTCCAGCCGCAGTTTTGAGCTACTACCTAAGCCAGAGCCAGAGCCAAAGCCAGAGCAGGGGCACGCACGGGGATAGCTCGTGGAGGTATTGGGGTACGGGGTTGATTGCATATTGCAAAAAGAGAGAGGGAGAGGAACAGCAATAAAACTATAAAAATTGTCTGTAGAAAATGCAGCTCGTGTGAGTAATCAATTTGGCCACAAAGTAGCCACGTTCCGACACGAGTCAGGCAGGAGTAGCCGCAGGAGTAGGAGCCGGACATGTCTGCTCAATGGTGACCAAGGATTAGCCATATTTACCTGATAGAGACCGCAGCGGAGAGGGCGGTGTGGGAGAGTTGGACATGTGTCGCATAACTGCAATGAAAAAAACAGAAAATTTCTTTAAATTTTTAATCATATTTAACCCCAAAAGAAAGTCCAATGCAAATGCAAACTGACACGTTCTGCAAGTTCAATTTGAAGCCAGTGGCTGGACACTTAGGAGCATTTTCCCCCACTGGAAACTGGGAGTGTGCTTTCGTTTCATGTCTGGCTCGTAAAATGTCCATTAGGAATTCGGACATACTCGTAACACACATTTCTTATGGCATATAACATGCAAAAATTTGTTACAACGCTGAAGCTTTTCGCTGAGTGCTCGACGGACTGTTGTAAAGTTTTCCTTTTAAGGGTCCATTTCCGCTTAATGTTTTTGAGTAGTTTTCACACCATTTCCGTTGAGTGGTGGACCAGCAGAGAAGTGGCAAAAGATGGAATCCTCTCGGAGAAACAAAACAAATTTCCATCTGCAATGGAATCTGTTTTCCACTCGCAAAGTCAATCCCTAACTCAGTCACAACTGAATGGAAAAATCCCCCCGCACATCTCTCATTCCTTTTTCGCCACTGTCCATCCGTGTCCTGTGCTGTCCCTTTTCTTTTTTTGTGTGCCATTTGGTTTTTTGTTTTGCAAAGTAGATATTAAATTTATAGCTCCCTCGGGGCGTAAGCAAAGTAGTGGCCAGGCAGGACAAGGGCCCACAAAAAAGTAACATATTTTTACGACAATATATTGGGGAATCCTTGTGCATAATGTCCCGGGCAGGAGAATATAAATATACAGATTACCCGTTTTGGACACTCGGACATTGTGGTCGTGTAATGGCTTTCTCTTGTGGGATTGCCGGGGGCCAGGGCTTAGCCGGGACGTGGGCTCCCCAATCCACTTGGTGTGAAAGGAGGATAACAAGTGGCATTAGTCAAAGGATCTGCGGCATATAAGCTGGGCAGATGATCTGCATGTTAGGAATTGTCCTTCCCAGTCTCAAACATCCTTGCACCTTCGGCTTAGATGTAATTACACAAACATTGCCTTTTGTGGCTAATTTGGTTTCTCTTTTGTTCTTAAACGATGCGCTTTAGGCAGGGCAGGGAAATCGTATTCCCTAAAAAAAAGGAACCGTAAAAGACTCAAGAAAATGCCGAGAAATAAGCAGAAAAAAAACGTTTCGTTTGTTCTTTGTTTTCATGCAAAATACCCCCCGAACAAAACACAAAAAAAAGACAGCCTTCTGCACAGGTAAAAAGGACACTTCCAGGATGCAAATGTAAACAGCAGAGAGACGACTCCGATCACACGCTCGCTCAGTGGGACACTCAAGGACAGCTGCTGCCCAAAATCGTACCGAACCGAACCGAACCGAAGAACCATCTCCCAGCCGGACATCGTCTCAAAGATCTGTTGCAAAACCCCATGAAATCGTTCATCTGATAGGGAAATTGTGTGTGCCCCGGAATCCTCTTCCAGGACCAGTTCTCAAATGCTAATGTGTGGGCGTGTAATCATCATCGGTGTCTTTTGTGCCTGCTCGAATGGGTCCTTTCTTTGTATCTGCTCTTGTTAGAGGAAATTTATTGCTTGAGAAAGTGAAAAGTCCTGGCCAACAGGTAAGAGTTCTATAAATCCTATGCGGTGTGTGTTTTTAGAGGGAAATCGTTTAGAATTATTAATAATCGAAATGATTTAATCAGATTATTCCAAGTAACTTCAATCCAAAGAAATCGAAGAATTCCATATGCAAATCTTGGTCCCTTGACAGCCCCTGTTTAGCGCCTAGGGGAGGCAACCCTAAGTTGCCTTTTTTGGGGCGCGTTGGCAACCTTGAAACTCACATTGTTGTGCCGCTGTTGTGGCATTTTCATGGTCCAATTTGTGAGCCGCATTGGGGGACTGCTGTTGGCCCTGTGTCGCTGCGGCCGATGTGCCGTTGGTGGCATCCCAAAGGCGCTGCTGTAGCACCATCATCTTGTGGCAGTTGGGTTTTGTTTTGTTTTGGGGTCACTTCACAAATTAGTCAAATTTTATTCAAATTTAGTCAACACTTCAAACATTCACTTCCAGCAGCGACACGAAACGACACGCACGTGTTTAAAGTCTTTTTTTTTTTGTTCCCCGTTTTCGCACTTTGTTCTTCGTCTCTTTTGCCAGTTGTTCGCTTTCGAGCCGACCTTCTCCTTCTAGCTTCGTTTGCCGAATGTGCAACTGACAGCAGACCGAGTGCCAGTCGGACCCGTTATGTGCAATGCATGCGCTCTCACTCTCTCTCACTCGTTTCGTTCGTGCTCTGTCTCGCCACTGCTCCGAGTGTGTGTGTGAGTGTGATATGCTTTATGATTTGCAGCAGTAGTTTTTCCTATTCCTGGTTTTCTTTGTTGCTGCCAGCTTCACTCCACTCCACTCCACTCCACTCCACTCACAATCAACCCTGGCACTGCACCGTTAGTTGAGTCGGAATGAGCGTGTTTCTGTGTGCGTTTGAGTGTGGAACGTATTCTTTGTCGCCTGCATTCCGCTGAGACCTTCGTCTTGCACTCTTTTCTCCACTCCACTCCACTCTATTGTTGCGCTTTCCCCTGCACATTTTCCTGCATTAGCATAGGCCACAAGTTGACTTCTCCTCCGGAATGGGTGTGGCCTATGTATAATGCAGTTCCCGCCAGCGGGAAGGGCAACTTTCGAGGGGGGTTCTTGCGCAGTTGCCGTTTTGAGAATTTTCTTTGCATATCTGCCCCATGCTCCCTCCCTGCCTCCCTCCCATTGCCAGAGCCACGTAAATCATAATTAAGTGTGGGTTGCCTCGGGGGCGTCTTATGTGCTCCCCAGAAGGTGTCTGGTCCTGTATATAGCAGGGAATTTATATGGAAAGTATTATTGCATTTGGCATCGTCGTGGGACGGGCAACGAAGTTTAGGGAGATTTCCTTCCCAAAGTTCGTTTATAATGAGTTTTTTGTTTATTTTTTTTGGGGTTTTGTGTTGTTCTGGGGAGTGTTCGATATTAGTTCTAGATTGGATTGGTGCACTTTGAGGTAGCATCGATTGATTATTCGATTATTGTATTATTCTAATTTTTAGTTGATTTATTTGTCAGACATATTTATGCTAATTTCCTTGTCAGGCAGGTCTTTATCTAGGTTCCTAAAAATACTATAGATATAATGCTATTTTTCATTACTGTTCTTTTATGGTCATTGACCTATTGGCAGGCAGTTTCCTTGACCTATGTTTATGTGACGATATAGGAGCAGTGTTGGCTAACGTTGCAGTGTTAGCTGTTATACGATAGGCATTTCTGTTCCAACTGTTCCCTCTTTCTTTCGTGATTACGAATAAAAATATGTATAGTTTTTGTTGAACTAAAAATTCGGGTCCCAGACCACTCCGGTACTGAAGAAGAGCCACGAGCTGGGGCCACGGGCGATTGGCATGGTCTTCGGCACCCAGGAGATCTCACACATAGCGCAGATCGGCCTCAGCATAGACCAAAAAGTTAGCCCCATTAGCACAGATTCCCTTTTTCTTCGGTTCCTTGTACTACCAACAAAATGTATGAGCGATACTCATCTTATAATATACTCCTCTTTAGTTGCACCTACATTTATCTTTCTTAAGCCAATCTTTCTTTTAGTGTATCACTCCCATCAAATTTAGCTACCGACTGCATCTGTTTCCCCTATTTACCCTTCGCGTTCCACTGTGCTCAATATCCTTTTGGAATCCCTGCTCAATCTCCAGTCCAGTTCTCACAGTCCAGCCATCAAGTGGAGCATTTCGGTGTGATTATATAAACACAAAACACATTCATATAAACATCAGGGCAGCCATTGAACTGCGACGGTGACTGCGACTGAGACTGCGACTGCGACTTCGACTGGGACTCGGGCGAGTAATTACAACAAGTGTTGTAGGGCTCTCTCTTTCACTCTCTTTTAAGTGTGTTTTTTCCTTGTGAAGAAGGCAAGGAGGAGTAGGAGGCCACCGATTCGGCTGCTGGAGACCGTGTGTGAGAGAGAGCTTATGCAGCTCTGGTGACAGCGCATACATTTTATGATTATGACTGTGACTGCACTTCCTCCGCTTTGGCTTAAGCTTTTGCGCTGAGAGTAAGTGAAAACGAAGAGAGCCAGAGCGATAGAGAGAGAGAGAATAAGCAAAAGTCCCTTCTACGTATATTATTTCCGGACTTGCCTGAAACATTTTAATTAAAACTGCAGAATTAATGTTTTTTTGCCTCAGGATGCACACAGGACGCAGGACGGTGACCGCCTCCTTCACATTAAAGTGCCAAAATGATTTAAGTTCGAAAGGAAATGCAGAAAAATCAATAGGCATTGTAGTTCCAACCCCCAATACACAGTGTGTGTGCCCCCCCCACCCCGCCAAACTAATTTCAATAGTTATCCTTTCCTGCTCCTGATTAAACTTGTCACTGGGAGACAAAAGATAAACAGTTCCTCACTTTGGATAGTTTTCCACGTTGTCTGTTATTTCTGGGGCCCCTGAAGTTCCTGGGCGGTGTCTAGGCAATTTGATTATTTGCCAAAAGCAGACAGGGCCAGGACACACCAGACAGGATAGGACAGGACTGGACAGGACAGGACACACACACACAGTTACAATAAGGAAGAGCCCACTAGTTGGGCACAGAAACCGAATAAAAGATACCCATTAGTGGGGCTTATTTATAGATATCTGAAGACCACTGAGGGTACGGGAAGGAATATTCCGATTGAGTTGGTTTTTGAGCCTCCTGTGCATTGATATAAGTATCTTTTCCCTGAAATATTTTATAGATTGGTATATAATGACCACATATATAGTTCAAGCTGATATTTTAGATGTAGAAGCTTTTTGGAAACCGAAAAAATAAGCATTTTGTTTGCTAGTTCCACTCGAATGCAGATATTGCTTAGGAATGCAAAAATATCTTATAAGGAGGCTCAGAAAAGCCCTCTCTGCTCTCTCTATATATAGCCTTCAAACCCCTCTAAATGCTGGGTAACAAAAGGGAGATTCACACACAATACACATGGCAACCATGAAGGGCAACCGAAAAAGTTTTTGGGCATTGAAATTAATCAAGAAAATAAACGCTTGGCAGCCTCGTTGGACAAGGGGACAAGGGACAAGGCGGGGGTGGTGCGATGGGAAAGGGGGATAAACCACACACACACTTTGCATGACGAAAACAGACGGGGACCGGGACCGGGACAAGGACAAGGACATCAGCAGAACCCGGAACCCAAAACCCGGAACATGGTCCAGCTACAATGTTGGGTGGTTTTACTCTATCTCCAATGCGAATTTTCCAACATTTTCCTGTCGCTTCTCGTTCCTCTCTGTTGCTGTTGTTGCTGCTGTTGTTGCAACGCATTAAAATGACATACCAATTTGCGTTAAGCAAATAAGACGAGACTAGCATTCGGTTGGTTTTCCCTTAGTTTTCTGAATTGGTTGTCTGGGGGGCGGGGGGCGGACACCCCCGAGTACGAGGCTAACCGCATGGCTTTAATGCTGGGAGAATTTTGCATGTGGTTGGGGCTTTAATACTGAGTTAGAGCTAAACTAAGATCTTTAAATGGTAAGAAAATGCGTCATTTAAAGGTTGGGAACATCATTTGGAATATTGAAACAATACTATCCAAAATTCCACTTTGAAAAGTCGAAAACAATTGAAGCAAAGACAATTGAGCGCTTTATTGTGGCTTTTCAACAGTTTAAATTTAAAATCTTGTACCGTTACTCATCTTACTATTTATATAGTCTTTGAAAGCATATCCCTTTTCCGATTCACTTTATAAACTATAAGCAATGATTGTCTTTAAAAGCTCTCCCCAATCGAAAACCTCTTCACAGAAAAGAACCCTCTCGAAATGGAGTTCCCTCCAAAACAAAAAGTTTCAACTCTTTTCATCTGCTCGTACAAAACAAAAATAACGCGCCAAAATCTAATAAAAGAACCCGAAAAAGCGAGTGCAAATCGATGAGGAAACCTCAGGAACGGAAATCAATAGAGGAGAGGACAAAGGCAGCCTCTAAATGTCCCTTTACTTCCGCATTTGTGGCGCCGCATCTTCCCGTCTGAGAGCGGAACCTTCCCGGCTTGGATTATTTATTAACGTTTATTGATTTCGACTTGCCTTGCGGGGATCTGTCAATCGCCACTGGCACGGCAACCCTTCGCAAAGTACCCGAAACACACAGAAAAATAATGCATTTTCCGTAGAGTTTTTCCCCGCACAATGCCCAAGAAAATTGCGCGCAATTTTTTTGGGCAAGAAAACAGGCAAAAAACTACAAGAAAAAAACGAAAGACTCAAGGGTAAAAATTGAGGATCACTGTCGAGGATTACCGACGATCTTCCACAGCTTAGCTCAAAGGAAAACACACCCGAGCAAAGGCAGTAGGAGGGAGAGAGAGAGAGACAGAGACACAGGGGTAGCAACAACCCCTTGGTATGGTCCTACCTAAGGGTGAATGTACCCCAATAATGCGTAATTTTTTAAGGTAAAAATAGCTCGAAATTGAAAGAAATTCAAATTGAACAAAGGCGCACAAAAAATACATTTTGGGTAATTTTTTGTGCGATTTTGTCTGCTTGGAGGGTGAGAAAAGGGCAGAAAAAAATTCAGTTGCGGTTCCCTTTTTTCTTTGGGTGCTTGGGCTCTGATTAAGTACGGGATATCTAACGGAATTTTTGCACAATTTTCTCACATTTTGTTTCTATGGATTTGCCGAAGACATATTGATTTATATGCCTGCCTGTCGATTAACCCATTTTGGGTGGAAAATTGAGAGTTTCATAAGAAATCCGTTACTTTTTTATAAGACGTTGAGAAACTTAAGAACTTATGGGAAAAAATATTGGATTTTTGTATGGAAGGTCTTTGTTTTATATTTGATTGTGCTATAGAAAGGGGATTTTAATGAATTTAATTTCGTTTTTTAGAAATTTTTAGAAAATTTGGAAAAATATACAAGAAATATTCTTTCATTAAAATACTGAAACCATTCTCCTTCAAGTCGAAGAACCATGAACAAAAAGTCATGATTGTCTTCTTAAGGTTGATTATGACCTTAAAAAACCAATAATGAATATATTGTAATAAATTGAAATTTAATGAAATTATCTCTTAAAAAATTAATATTATTGAATGGTTTATTATTTTAAAGGCCTCCATAAGACACCATTTTTTTTGACTGAATGTTTGGAGCCCATGGATTGGAAAACAAATCAATTTAGAATTTAAATTCTTTCGAATAAAAGCGGCATACTCTCAGAGATGCTCTTTTTCAGCCCCAGAAGTTCTTTAATTTCTCTAATTTAAATGGTTTAAAAATCGAACAATTTTAATCAAAAAAAATTATATAATCCTCAACCTTTGATTATTGTTTCGGTTTTTCTAGCTCCCATCATTTAAGACTCTAAGACTTAAGCAACCCCTTGATAAGCTCCATGAAAATCCCTAACAAACTAACGCCATTTTCAGGCTTTCCCAAGACTTCCCTCCCCCTAGACCCACAGTGCTATCAATCTATGCAAATCTAACCCTTGTGCCCCGAGCAACCATTTTTAAGTTGTTGAAAAAAAAAATGTAAATCGCATTTGAATGGCGGGCTGGCGGGCTGGCGGGCTGGCAGGCTCAAAATGGATTTATGATCTTTGCTTTACAGCTTGTAAAGCGTTTTTATTGGATTTACTTCACGAGAGTACGTATATCTTTTTTGCTGGACGTTGGGTGTTGGGTGGGGTGAGTGCCGGTGCCAATGCCTGTGCCACCCCCAGCAGAGTGCGGTCCCCGAGGCAGGGCTCAATTGGCCATAAGCTGCTCAGAGCACCGGGTCACAGTTGGTAGTGACACCAGCGCCGTGTTAGAGCTTTCCCTTTGGATTTTACTTTACTTTTTGTGAGGGTGATTTTTGGAGTTTACTTTTTATTTTTGTTCTCAGTTGTGGCCCTGTCAAAGGTTACCGTTACCTCATGCAATTGTGGTTCGGTTTTGTGTTGTGCGCCGCAAGCAACCTTTTTCGTGCAACCACCCACGCCCACGCCCACCCACAGGGCAGACAAAGTGGTTTTAAATTCCATTAAATAAAGTTGTAAAGGTTGCCGTTGCCGTCGCCCTTTGCCGCACTTGAGAATTTTCACGCATATTTTGTTCGCACTTTTGTAAAATTTATTAATATTTTAGTGATTTTAAATGGAGTTTGTATGTTGGCAATTCTCGGTCCAACATGGGGGAGCCTTTACCTTCTTGGGGGTTGGGTTCTGGGGCTAGGTGATGGCATGGAATGTATTGTATTAAGTTGAGAGCTTGTAATTGAGTTGGTCCAAGGGGGTTGGGTCGGTCGGAATGGGTTTTGGGGCTAGGAAAAGGTCACCAAAGGCATGGGTCAAAAAGTATTACAGGAGTGAGTAAAAAGGTTCCCTAGAAGTAGCCAGAGTAGCCAGTATTTTTCCAAATTGATGGATTAAGAAGGACTCTGGCAAAAATATAGCTAATTTTCATAGGAAATATATAGGAAGATACTATATAATCATAATGAAATCCAGCAAAGAATTCTCCCCCCACCTGAACGCCCTCAAAAGTTCCTTTTGGACACCGTTTACGAGTATATATCGAATATAATAACCACATTTCTGCTCAATGGCTTAACCCCCACCTGAACCCACTCCAACCTCTTGGCCTCCAACAACAACGACAATTAGTTGGGGCATAAAACTTACCTTTGTTGGCGGGACGACAATGTCGTCCGTTTGGTGTCGGCTGCTCGTAAATGATGAGGTCCTTGGCGGGCTCCGCCAGCGCAGAGAAAGCGGAGGAGGTCAGGACTTCCCTGACTGGCTGGACGGCTGGCTGCGGAGTTGGTGGGGGCTGTGGCTGTGGCTGGTGCTGCGCTGGCGGTGGGGCAATGCCGAACAGCTTCCTGGCATGGCCATTGCCATCATAGACGACACCATGCCAATGATGGTTATGCTCCAGCACAGACGCTGGGGTTTCCCGGGCGCAGGACGGCTCCTCCTGCGGCTGCTGGTGGTGGGGTGGTGCTTCCAGGGAGAGCTCCTCGTCACGCAATAGCTGCTGCTTCAGCTGGTGCTCTCGGATGAGGCGGTCCCGCTCGTGAAAGTGCCGGACGAACAAGTGCTCACCGTTGGGGCCCTGCTTCGGTGGGGTTAATGACTTGAATGTCTCGGGCTTGCCCTGTCCCGGGCCCGGGCCCTGGCCGCAGGACTGGTATGCCCCCAGACCGGGAGGCAGACTATTAATTAATGTGCCCATTGTTGTTGCTGTTGCTGTTGCTGCTGCTGCCGCCGCTGCCGCTGCTGCTGCTGTTCTCTGCTGATAATGATGTTGTTGGAACATAATTTCATGCAATGGTATTAGAAAGTCTGGCAGGGATTTCTGATGCTGATGCTGCTGCTGCTGCTGCTTGACAGATGACAGTGTTTCCATGCCAAAATATGATGGGGCCGGCAGCAGACATGTCTGGCCATCCCCCATGGCTCCTCCCTCCAGAGCGGAAGTCATGTGTGCCATATCCTTGTTGATGTCCCTGTTGCTGCCCTTTCCGTTCCCGTTGCCGTTGCCGTTTCCATTGTAATTATGATATCCAATGCCCTCGGCAGGCCTCAGATACCAGGGATTTAATATTGTTTTGCCACGACAGCTTGTAGCAAAAACTATAAATCAGAGAGATACGGAGAGAGAGAGAGAGCAAGGGTTAAACAATTGCATTTTTATAGACTGTTGTCGCAATGAAGTGAGAATTGTTTTTGGGCTTTTTCTGCCCAAAAAAAATCGTGTAAAAATCTCCCAAAAAAGGGTTAAAAAAAGGGATTTTCGATATCATTATCAGCACTTGCTGGCTTTTGCACCCCTTTGTGCCCATCCCCTATCGCAGGGTAACCCCTTCCTCTGGCCTTTGCCTACCATATTGCCTATGGAAACCGTTTATGTCACTATCAATTACTCATCATTATGGAACTCTGATACGCCTTGCCACCTTCTCGTGTACAGGGCTCAAACCCTCTCTCATCCCCATTTAGTGCCGCTGTTTCTGTGGGGGTTGTACGCCATATTTTTGGTTCCGTTTTTGAATCAGTTCTCCCATCAATTGTTTTTTGTTTTTTTTTTGTTGCTGGCTGCAATCATTTCATTTATGACTTTGATTGATTATGAAATCTGTACATAATTTGGATTTTATAGTTTTTAGATAAGGACCCGCTGGGGGAGTGAAATCGAGGGAAATCTGAACATTTGTGCATCCCCGAGTGTGGGCGTTCTTGCTCATAAGTGTGGGCCGAATGCCACGCCCCCCTCCCTCCAGCCGACTGAGTGATGGGGTAAATCTTTATTAGCCAAATCACAAGGCTCTAATGGGGTGGATGGGTGTCTAAGTGGCTGGCGGGGGTTCCAAAATGGGAGAATTTTTAGAATAAAAAAAAAATAATGAAATAACAGAATAAAAATAATAAAAATATATAATAATTATATTTAAAGTTTAAGGAGAAATTAAATTAACATATGGTCGATATATTGATGAGACTTTTGCTCTGAAAATTCCATATAAACATTTTTTTTAAATATTGAGAAGTGTTTTAGACTAGAGAAATTAAATACAAATCTGTATAGCCGGATAAATCTTTTTTTTTGTTCATAAAATTCTTGTTAAAAATCCCAATAATTTTTTTAGAAATCTTTCCATAAATATGGACTTTTGCTCTGAAAATTCCATATAAACAATTTTTTTTAAATATTGAAAAGTGTTCTAGACTAGAAAAATTAAATAAATATCTGTATAGCCGGATATATATTTTTTTAGTTCTTAAAATTCTTTTTAAAAATCCCTATATATTTGTATAGAAATCTTTCCATAAATATCATAAATTTTCCTCTACTTTTTCTCATTCTTTACGGTTTGCTACTGTTTTTGCTGATCATTTCCAAGCCGAGACACAGACACACAAAAAACCATCAAATCAGATCATTTCATGAATGAAACTCTGACCTATGGCTAATGATCCAGAGAGATCGACAAAAAAAAAACAATAACAATAACGAATGGCCTCAGTCCAAGTCCAAGGCAACCACAAAATGTTCATTAGAGCGCCAAAAACTGTGTGAATAATGGAGGGGAGTACACGAGATAATTGTGATTGAAGCCAGAGAGTAGCCAGAGATACGCGTATATCCCGACCGATCAGATATATGGATATTAATTTGATTTACGAGCAGGCGGCAGGTAGAACAAAGGCCCCCCCCAGCCGCAGGAAAGTCATTTCCCGCATTCTTTGGCATCAAAATAACAATAAGGAAATAGGGAAAATATTAGTTAACGTTTAACCCTTTGTCACCCCCATGGCAGCGGGGCTGGGCGAGTGCTGGCCACGCGACATCTTGAAGAAAGGGTTGACAAACCGGAAATGGAAATGCCAGGGGTTTCGGGTGAAGAAGTGTGCCGGGGATTATGAAAATGAAACGAGAAAACGAGCTAGGGCTGGGCCCGAAAGCTGACTCTGACTTCTAATTACTGGAAATGCTTCCTGCTTTCAATATCTCTCATTTCGATGCTGTCAATCTGCCTGAATGCTCGTGCCAGTCAAGGTTAGCGCGCGAGTCCTTTCAATCCTTGCAATCTGTCGGGTAGGGGGAACTCTCGTTGAAAATCGAGATCTAAAGGTGAAAGTTTCAATCAAATGAAAGGAAGGGAAAGCAAATCAAAGGACTCTTGCTTGCACAGTTGCCAGGAGGAGAGGGAGGGGGAGGTGTACGATGAGCAGCTGCTCTACCACAAGCCACAATTGTTAAAAAACTGAACATTAAATCCTTTTTTCAGGCTCAATTTGCTACAGAAGCATCCTGCTCTGAGCCGTGCAAGCTGTTCCAAAAGGATTCGAAGGCGCTCCAAGCCGACAGGGATAGGGATCCCCCCCCGGGCATCCTTCCTATCCGTCTAGGAATCCTTCGGTTGCGTCTCCTTTGCAGCTCCTTTTTGGCATTGTTACTTTGTGCGATTATATTTACCTGCAACATGGCGATTAACACGCATCCTGGCTGCCGACTCCCCTACCTGGCTCTTTATTGCTTTCCTATGCGCCTTGATTTCACATTGCGGCAGTATCCTTTATCCTTTGTGCCCCTTTGTTGCATGCACCGGCTGGCAAACACATTACAAAAAGTGAAAAGTGAAAAGGGGGAAGAGCTGCAGGGTGACAGCATTGCAGGAGAATAGGACTGGGAGCCGGAGCAGGAGCAATGCATTCGCAGTTGGTCCTTTCTAAGCGATCCTTTCAGCATTTTCAATTACGCAATGGCTCTGAGCAAAATTCCCCTGAATATCTATATTCTGCCGATGATCCATATGAGTTTTCTCGTTTTTTTATTATGATTTTTACTTCTTTTCTGTGGAAATATTTTTAATTGAGAAACAGGACCACACAGCAGGAGAGATTGAGTGCGAAATGAATTGGGTAATTACACAGGAAGGCCAGAGAGCGGTGGAAAGTATACCAGGCAGATGGTGGGGACCTCAAGACGGGTACTAAACCTTATAGTATGGATATTCCAGTTATTAAACTACCAAATAACCAAGAAAGGTAGAAGCTTGGGCCCTAAAATGGGAGATACATTTTCTGTATTTATCGATAGATACAAAATTTTGATAGCATTTGCTTGAAGCTAGTTTTGCAGTAGATAAAAGATACTATAAGGTGCGAATGGCTATCGATATTCGATTTAAGTTTTTAATTTTAATTTAAAAAATAAAATAAGTTATTTACTGTAGTTATATCTGAACTATTTTATCATTTATTTTATATTTTATATTAATATTAATTTTATTGCCAAATTATATATAATTTTTGTTGTATTTTTTGTATTTATTTAAATATATATTTTTTAATATACATATTTAATAGCAAAACAATTAATATATTTTATGGATTATAACTTACGTGAATTATTTATTTCAAAAATTATTTTTTTTTAAGATTTTAAGAATTAAAAAAAAATATAAACAAAGAAGTTATAGATTAATTCAGAATTAAACCAACTAAAAGTATAAAAGTTCGTTTAACGATATACAGCTTTATTTTAAATTTCCGACCATCATTAACGTTGATATTGAAATTGATTTTCTACTTTTTTACCAGTTTTTCTCGGCCAAATGCCTGATGTAACGACTTCATACGAGACCAAACACCAAACAAACACAAAATCCAGTCCAAATAAAATATATATTAAATTGGTTGGCAGAGAAGAGAGGGTTAAAACCATTTAGAAATGTTTGCATTATAATTGCGGTGATTATTTCGGAACGGGGTCATTAACATGTGACATTCACAGAGAGAGACAGAGACAGAGAAAAGGAGAGAGAGAGAGAGTTCTGATCGACGGAGAGCGATAAAATAGTTAAATCAGTTTTTTTTTTTTGGGACAGCTGGGGGGGAGCTTTCTCGGGATGGTACTCTCGGTAGATACGCAGATACCCAGATACGTGGCGAGTGATAAGGGGCCAAAGTGCTGGGCAGAAGGTTCTTTGGAGAATTGCGGTTAATTGAAGAATGCCAAGATTTCGCCAGAGATTCGTCTGTGGATTCTGGGGTAACAATAAATTGTTCCCACTAATGCGATTTCTGTGGTCTGTTCGCTGGATTACCTAACCCACTGAGGCGTGGGGCTGGCTGCTCCCGCGACCCTCTAGACCGTATAAATGGCCCGAGCGCGTTGCCAAAAAAGTTTAGAACATTTGTGTCGGTCTCCGGTTGCGCAACTACAATCGAAAACAGCTCCCAGTGGACCATGATCCCCGCTCTATTGGCCACGTTAATACCGTTCGCTCTGGTCGTCGGCCGCGTGTTAGCCAGCGACGATATATTCTCATTGCCCCACAAGAGCAACCACAGCGAGGAGCTCCTAGAGGAGTATGGAAAGTTTCTGCTGTCCGCGATGAATCGCAGCATCGATCCCTGCGAGAACTTCTACGAGTACAGCTGCGGAGGCTGGAAGAAGTCGGAGCTGGTGCCGGAGATGGCCAGGAACACGAGCTTCCTGTCGGCCGTTCAGGCGAAGATCGATGAGCAGGTCCTGGGCTTTCTGCAGAACGTCACCCAAAAGGAGCTCCAGGAACTCGGCCCAAACGGCACCAGATCTGCGGAGGTGAAAGCCAAGCAGTTCTTTGCCAGCTGCCTGGAAGTGAAGGCCAACATGTCCCTGGGCTATCAGCATCTGGAGCAGCAAGAGGACGATCGCCTCAAAGATCAGGCTTCAGCCAAGAATGAGTCTTTGGACTGGGTTTACATCAACTTCATGTCCAAATACGACGTCTATCCCTTGCTGCCGCTCAAAGTCCACTATAGTACATCCTCCAGGAAGTTCGATGTGCTGCTGTCTCCGCCTGTCAAGGTCCTGGCGACCTACAGCGATGAGCATCTGAAGAACATGACACGGGATTTCGGTTGGGAAGCCAACCTGGAAAAGGCCAAACAGTTCGTGGAGAGTTACGTCAATCTCTCTGCCTTCGAGAAGAACCTTACGGCCCTCGGCAGGACTCGCAACGAAACGGAGAAGCTCAGCCTGAAGGAGTTCCTGGGCAAACACAAGCAGGATCGCCTCAATTGGACCCGCTTCTTCGATGTGGCCTTCAACGGCACCCAGGACTCCAGCTGGCCCGTGATCAATCAACTCGACGGCGTCAACGATCTGGTGTACTTCCTGGAGCAGACCCCCCTTGAAACCCTGCGCTCCTACGTGAAGATGCGTGTCCTGCTGAAGTTCTATGCCCTCTGGAAGACCCAGACCAAAGCGGGGGGCGTTCAGAGCGAGTGCCGCTCTCTGACAGAGACCTACTTCAACTACGCCATCCTTCCGTGGTTCATTGGGAAGGTGTTTGACAAGCACAGACGTGCAGACATCCTCGGTGTGGCCAGGGACATCAAGGACACGTTCTACGACCTGCTGGACCACCACACCTGGCTGGACGACGAGACCCGGTCGCAGGCCAAGACAAAGCTCGCCTCGATGGATATCCTGGTGGGCTACACCGACGATCTGCAGCACCGCGAGGTGCTCGATCACGTGTACAGCGAGATCAACATGACCGGCAACTGGTGGGAGAACCTCTGCACAATCGAGGGCAGCAGGGCCAGCATACGTCTCCGATCGGTGGACAAGGCTCTGATACCTCTGCTGATGCCCACGCGGACGGTGAACGCCTACTATGCGGACTTCCTGAACCTCGCCTTCATCACCATCGGCATGGCCCAGTGGCCCTTCTACCACCGGGACTTTCCCGACGTCCTCAAGTACGCCGGCGTTGGCAACATCATCGGCCACGAGATGGCCCACGGCTTCGACTCGTACTGCTACCAGTACAACTACGACGGCAAGAGGGTCAACTGGTGGTCGGCCACCTCGCTGAGGAACTTCAAGGAGCGCTACCGCTGCCTGGAGTCGCAGTACAACAAGTTCATCCTCATGGGCGTCCAGACCAACGGCAGTCTCACCTCCGGCGACAACATAGCCGACAATGTCGGCACCCGCATGGCCTACTACGCCTACAAGAGGAAATCCGGGGACAAGGCCTGGCTGGAGAGGCCCCTGCGCGGCGTCGACTTGAACAACAAACAGCTGTTCTTCGTGAAGTTCGCCCAGACCTGGTGCAATGGCAAGGACAGCGGCTCCAGGGTCAGGAAACTGAAGACCGATGTCCATGCCTACGACGAGTTCCGGGTCCAGGGCACGCTCAGCAATATGCCCGAGTTTAGTGAGGCCTTCGGCTGCAAGTTGGGGGCCGAAATGAATCCGCTCAAAAAGTGTGTCGTTTGGTGAAATAAAGAGAGTTTTTGGAGCGAAAGAGAGGTGTAAATGAGGTGGTTTTCGAGGGTCTTAATGAATCGTTCGGATGCGGGGAGATTGTTCCATAAGTCTTCAAGGAGAAGGCACTACCTTCTTTCTTTCTCATTCCCTGCCAGCTTCAGCTTCTGTCGTTTCTTTCAGAGTTCATTTGAAGAGCCAGCAGATTTGTATGTTCCTTCATTTGGGATTAAAAGAAGAACATAGTTCCAGAGATCCACGTGAAATTGAAGATCTTTTCAGAAACTTCCAGGTTTATTTGAAGCCAAAGACGAAACCCAAAGCCTTTTATAAGCGCTTAGATTCCACCAAAAGATCATGGGTTCATCATCTCCTTCAAGTTGGAGCCTTCTAGAGCCCAGTATCTCGATCATTCGATTGCCATAACGTCTCAATTCTCGTCTGCCGATTTACTGGTTATTCTTCCAGCGATAAAATCGATATTTCACGGAGCACAAATGAACGCCCACCACTTGGAGCAGCTGATCTTCAGCCGATGCCCATCGAATAGAAGAGAAACACTAATTGATTTGCTGCAGAACCTGCAGGAGTAACCTCCCACCAAGGCTGGGATGGGATGGGATGGTATGGTATGGATCGCTGGTTGCCCGTGGGCGGGTCTCGGCAATATTTGTCTTTGACTTTGCAGCGATGACACCTTTCTCATTACGAATTAATGGCATTTTCCAGCAAACAAAAGACGAAACAAAGGAAAACCAACAAGAAAGTCACTCTACAGAAAAGGTGCAGAAAGTGCGGAGGAGTCTGCTGGCCTGTTACTGTTTTTTTCCCGAAAGAATAACAGTTTCGACTATCATTAGTCGTCACTCGAGAGATCCCGATACGGAGAACAGCAGAGGGAAAGTCAAAAAGGAAGCCAAAGACCGTTGGCTTTGAGGCTGCCTCCTGCATACGAAATGAACGGCCTAGACCAGTCCGGTATTTGCTTAAGGATCTGCGGGGTTTATCTTAGGCCTCCTGACGGCCTAACGGATTTTCGTGCATTTGTTATGGATTTTCGGCGCCAGGTCTCTTATTAGCTCTCAGCAACAGGCAGGCACGAAGGCAGGTAAGCGATCCTGCAGGCCATCTACCGTCTGGTGTGCTTCTCAGCGGGATCCTGACTCCTGGGCCCATAATCTTCAGGTCATAAAAATCCAGTGCCCAACCCCATGTGCATTGCAGATAGATCATTAATTTAATAGTTTTTGTTTTTTTGTTTTCTGTTCATCTCGAAATGCAAAGTGCAACCTACATCACACAGGCAGCGATGGATCGCGGAGGTGGTCTCTCTGCGGGCAAATCAAATTGCAAAATCTTCCAACCCATCGCTGGGAAATTCAAGACTCTCTCTCTCTCTCTCTGTGTTCGCCCTCTATCTGATAATTGCATTTGCACTGCACAATGGCCGAGTCAAATTAGTCTTCATTTGTAATCTTTCCGAACAGGTCCACTCCTTCATCTCCATCTCCTCGATCGCCCTGATCGCCCGATCGCATTAATTTCGCTTATGTAAACCATCCCAAGACCAGGGCTTGTCGTAGGCGTAGACTGTGTAATAAAAAATCAACTAGCCGGGGTAGGGGGCAAAATACAAGCTGGGTGGGTGATTGGCGGAGCATGTGGCCAGTGGTTGGGTCTGGGATTCGCCAGATATCTATAACCGATACAGAGATTATCATAATAATGCTCGAGGATTGCATAGAATCTCTCTTCCTTCAAAGCATATATCCAGAGAGGGCCAGTACAAACAAGTTGCCAAAAGCATGTTTCCATAATTACATGCAGAATGCCTTTTAGGCCACGGCGACCCGACCTGCTTCCGTCGCTTAGCCCCAGTCTCGGTCTCGGTCTCTACCTTTGCCCCCACACCCCCGCTGCTCTGCTCCATCATCGTCATCATCATCATGCGGCTCTCCACCATCGCCACAGAAATTGAACAAAAGGGGCGTCAGCCCAGGCCGAGCCGTGGCCACAGCAGTCAGGTAGGAACTACTACCAAAAACAGTTGCAGTTCCAGGGGACTTGGTACCGAGAGAGAGAGAGAGATCAGGCCAGTCGCTGGCCAGAAGTCGGGTGTTCATGGTGAATTATGAAAATCGTTGCGAAATTAAGTTAAGAACTTCTTTTTTTTCTTAAGCTTAGCAGGAAGCAAAAATATCTGCAGCACCAGGAATCGATGGTTGGGCATGGGAGCGTGAGTCGTGAGTGGTTTGTGGCAGAAAATAGAGCCGAAAGGGCTGGGATATAGGCCTAAAAACTTCTGGTAAGAGCTGCCTTCATACCGGGCTAGTTTTGGGAATGATTTTACATGGTAGAAGCCTTTGTAGATCCATCAACGATGCTGTTAGAACCCATTTGATCACGCACCCATCTCCAAAACCCAAGCCAACGGTTGAACCTTTGGCTTTATTAAATGGAGATGATCAATTTAAATATTTTTCGCAATTGTTTGTGGTGCGTGAGCGGCCTGACCCTCGGGTTTTTGGGGAAGAGGCAACCGAACAGACAGCAGCCGCAGCCCCATTCGAGTGGGAGGGGGTGGGGGGGGGCAAGTGCTTGCACATCTTGATGCAACCTGCTGGCAGTGCTGCCGATGCTGCCGTTGCTGCCGCCTCCTCTCGATTTGTATAAAAAATGTGCTTCATTTTATTTGGCCGCGTCCGGCGTCCGCCTCCGTTTCGGTTTTGGTCGAGGGTAAACGCCCCAGCCGCAGCCTCAGTCCCGGAACGCAATGTGGCCAGGCCCCGCCGAAAATGCAGCAAACAAATCGCATATGGATCGCATGGATCGGCTGGAGTCTGGGGCCGGGCCGGGCCAAGACGGGGCTTCTGCTTGTATTTTGTTTTTTTTTTCGCCAACGATTATCTAAATTGCATACGAAATTATTTTAATTAAAAATCTAATTTTCTTAGCCGCCTTACACGGTTTACGAGAATCGATCTTCGTTCTCCCTCTCTTGGGGTTCAGTGCGGAGCGGGGAATACCTATAGTACTACCTATAGGAAACTCTGGGAATTTGTGTCTTGTTTGTTCATTGAACCTTTAATTTGACGCGATTAAAACGATATTAGTGTGCCGCAAAGCATCTGTTGCAAGTGGCACTCCTTCGAAGGTGTGAAGATGTGGCGGCGTCAGCTGGGGCCATCGTCCTAACATACGTGACCATTCATTGATTGATGATGCATAATTCTAGATGGGGACAGGCCGGGGGTAATAGACGCCTTTCCGGTTTGCTATACGCAAGGGTTGAGGCAAGGAATCTAAAGAAATAAAAGTAATTTGAGTTGCCATTCCCTCATGCATTTAATCATTATACGAATGGTGCTCTTCTTGAATGCCATTCAATCAACCACCAACCGATGCATAAAATTTAAATAAATGTTTGATTTGAATTTAATTGATGCTGCAAGCAGAACCTGCTCGTGGGCCGTGATTGAATATAAATCAAATGCATCCGACAGCCATCAGCGCGGATCAAAGGGACGCGCTAATCACACGCTGGGCCAAATAGGATCTAATTTCCACACAAGAAACAAGAAAAACCCATTTTTTTTTGTATACAACAAAAGATCGAGAATCGAGCATTTATAGAGAGATCAGATCGGGGGGGCCGATCAGGTGCAGCAGTCGCTGAGCATTCAAATTTCGCGCATCTCTCGAAGATAAATGATGCTGCCTTCGAACAGGTCCGGAGACAGGTAGACAGAAGCATCAAAGATCGGAGTTGGCAGGTATTTCAACCATTTCAATTTGAATTTTCGACAATAATTAAGCGCAACAATGGATTTATTGGGTTTTCCCTGTTCATAATCTTCGAATTGCTTTTGCGGTTCCCGTTTGCCACAGAGCCCACAATTAGTTGGGACCTCAAACCCTTATCCCATGCCATCCTATCCCAAACCATTCGATCCCATCCCATCTCGTGGCAGCATCATCAGCGGAGCGGCAGCAGTTGCAATTATCATAATTATTTTCATTCATGCGGCGTTGCATTCAACTACTAGAGGAGCATCTCCGATTCCGTTTCTCTCTGGACGACTGACAGTACATCTCTCTCGATTCTCTACAGATTCGATTGGCGAGATAAATTCTCCTCTGTCTCTCCGCTTCTCTGCCTCTCCGCTTCTCTGCCCTGTATGAAATGTTCGAGATCTTAACGCCATTTCCCTTTTGTTGTCTCGGGCCTTCTGTTCTCACAGATCGTACTCCACGGCGTGGAAGGGTACGGCACGTATGGGAATGAGGATGCATTCAAATGTTTTGTTTTTCTTTGCATTTCCGGCACTTGCTGCACGAACTGCACTTGGTTTTGAATACCCTTTTTCATGGGGAATGGTGGGGGGCTTCTCTATCAAGTGGAAAATTATTACTTCCTAATATCTTGATCTGAAGGGAATCCGGGGGTATATATGCCGGAGAGAATACATTTTTAGCTGCTTTCAGCAAATATTAAATTATATTTTTGACTAGATTCCAGAATATTTAACATTAGGGGTTAAGACCCCTGCTCACTTGCTTCACTCGTGCGCCAACCCTCGGCTCACTAGCTTTACTCGCTTCCTCGCGCCGATACGAGTAAATGTGTGGACGAAGACCCAAAATCGAGAGAGATATTTAAATAAAGCACGAGTCCTACAGGGAGAGAGCTAGCCTTGAAGGAAGCGCGAGCGAGAGAGAGCTAAGCACTCTTTGAATACCTTTCGGACATGAAAACCCACCCTTAACTGCTAAGGCACACTGGGAGAGAAAGAGAAGCCTGCACGAGGTGGAAGAGTCAACCAAGGGAATTTGTTCAGAGATATACCCTGTATTCTTGAAGTCCGCAATAGTCTAGTCTTGTGATAGTTCAAAAATGGTAAAAATACCATCAAAAAACTTGTACTTCTACAGGAAAAACCCCACAAGGGTACAAAAGCTTCGGTTTCACTCGTATTCTCCACCGAAAGGTCATTCGTTTTTGGTTTTTTTCGTATTCTTTAATTGACAATTAAGGAAATTACGTTATCATATTGAGTTTTTGTATCTGTTTCTGTTTCATGTGGCGACTGCTGCGGCTGCTACTGCACTTTCGACGCCTTTTCGGTAATTGTTTTCTTGAGTTGCTGCCCAGAGGTACGTATCTGTGGGTCTGTACAGTCTGTAGTACCATTTCCCCTGATGAATTACCCTGGCTATGGCATTGTTTGCCTTGGCTTTGCTCATTTATGTCAAATTATGAAACAAAACGTAAGTGGAAGCTGGCCGCAGAGATTGGTGATGGATCGCTACAGATGCTAACGATCTGGGGATCTCTACGAATATCTAACAGAAAATCTAATCAAAAATCCCAACTTGGTTGAGTTTCATTTTGGTTAAATTGAGTTTAATTTCCGGTCGCGTGTTCAGTTTTTTTCTTGTTTTTTGTTTTACTTTAAATTTTTGATAATTGCGGCACTTAGGGGGGTTTCTTTTTTTGTCTTCTTCTGGTTTTGCATGTCATGGGAGCATTTCCGAGCTGGGGCCAGAGGAAATGGATTTACATATGAAGATGAATGCTGATGAGGCCGGACCATCTAATAAGCCCTATTTACGGGGTTTCGGCGTCCCCCGAGTGAGATCATCAAATGGCAAAATGGCAGTTTCAATAATCGAAAGAAAACAAGATGTTTGTCCCCGTGACAACCCCCTTTTTTCTTTCGGTTAGACAGGAGCAACAGGACGGGGCACCCTTTTCGTTGTCGCCTTCACCCCTTACTCGTGTGCGGTGTGCGATGTGCGCCTCTTGTGGCCTTGTCCCTTAAGATGGATGAAGTGTTTGACAACCCTTTCAATCTTCATAAATGTTCGCACTCGTGGCAGTAAAGGCGTTGACTGTGCCAAAGGCAAGGAGGCAAGGAGGCAGGGAGGCAAGGAGGGTCTCTGCTGCAATATTAGCCCGGGTCCCTTGTGTCGCATCCTTTTCTCTCTATCAAGATGACGACCTTTTGGCCCCGACCCCGACCCCGACCCTGGCACTGGCAATAAAAAATGAAATCTGTTTCGATGCATACAAAATTGAAAATCTCCTAAGCATGCGTTTGGCACGGGCTCGCCTGCCTTTGGGGGGTGCCCTGTCAAGGTTTGTTTTTTGGGTTTCTTGGGGGTTAAGGGGCCATGAAAAATGGCCATGTGCTTGTTAACACATTGTAAATACCTCATTTTTCACTTAACGGGTTTTTAAATACACTTATGCATTCGAGGGGAGTTCTAGAAGGAGTGACTGGTGGGTGGAGGAGGGGAAAAAAGGGTCCAAGCTGGTCATACACATCCCCAGAAATAAAGTTTTCTTTATAAAGAGAGCTCTAAGCTTTAGTCATAGAACCATCTAAGCATTCTTTAAAGCCTTTCTTTAGGGGAAAGTCTCCTATTTATTCCTTCTAGAGAAGACTCTTATTATCATCTGTAATATTCGATTACCCAAAACACTCACCTGCTGCTGCTGCCTGCTGCTGTTGGCTCATCGGATTGTGGCTGGCTCTGTCTAGGAGCGACTCCATGAATTCCTGTTTGACTTGGATCTGCGGCAGGCGTAGCAATCCCTCATAGTTCTGCTCCTCTTTGGTGGGTGGAACTGGTGGGCAGTTGTCTTTAGGGTTAAAGCCATTCAAATGGCCAACGTTAGCGGCATAATTAGCCGCCTGGAGTTGTAGTGGAACTTGAAGTGGAAGTTGCAGTTGATCGTTGACTAGAGTTGTGGCCGCAACGCCTTTGCCAGTAATTTGAACATTAACACCTGCTGTTGCCGATGCCGATGCCGAAGCTGTTGTAGTTGTTGTTGCCGTTCTATTTGCTGCTGCTGCTGCTGCCAGGCTGCAGTGTGTGGCTGATGTTGCTGTGGCAAGGCAGTGTGCTGCTGCTGTTGCTGCTGCTGCTGCCTGGGACGTCAGCAACATGGTGGCTGCCGCTGACTGTTCGACAGAGCTCAAGTGTTGATGATGGGAATTGTTGCCGTGTGTTGTGGCCAGCAGTAATGGCATAGTCGTTGCTGTTGTTGCTGTTGTTGCACGCAGTTCGTCAGCAGCAAATTGCGTCGCTTTGATTTATGACAACGTCCAGTGCTCCTTGCCGCCTCTGGCGACTTGTTTGCTGCTCCACCAACTGCTTCGACTGCTCCGAGTGCTCCTCCTTCCCCTTCTGCTCCTCCTGGCTCTTCTCCTGCTGCTGCTGCTGTCTCAGATTATGATATTGACCCATGGACCATTGGCGATATATATTCTTGCCTCCTGCCTCCTGTAAATGGTTGATAATTAAAAATGTGTCTTCTTCTTCTTTTGGAGATGCCTCTCCTGCCTTGTGGCAGCTTCTGCTGAAAGCTTAATTTGCTGTTAAGTGCTTTTTAAAATGCTGTTATTAAATACAGGGGCGCACAACTCTATCGCCGCGCCGATGGATGTCTGTGACACGATAACGGCAGTAATTGATTTTGTCTCGCGGCCCAACCAGTCCGTGATTTTCACGCGAATTTTCCTCTGAATGAACGCCCTTTTTGTGGGTGGAAACAATGAAGGGGTTTGCAAGTCCAGCGGATGTTTGTTTAATTGGTCTAAAGCCGCCATAGCCATAATTTTTGTGGACTGACTAACTGGACTGCCGTTTGCTATATAGATAAGGGGGGATAAGGGCTTTGCCATTTATGGGGAATTTCCCGAGTACACAATTCATCAAAGAAGCCCTTCATAACTGAATGAAAGTGGGTTCCACTGTGTTTTATCGTTCAATGAATTATAAAACCCAGAAAGAACCCAGAAATTCCACTAGAATCGAATATTTATACGAAGAATGAACGGATTTGCTCCGAGAGTGGAAATAATTAATTTAAATATATTTCAGATTTGAAAGGATTATATTTCAGATCTGAAATTATATATATTTCCTAAAAAAAATTATTATTTCAGGTATATTCTTTGAATAATTAATTATTATATTATGTTAAAATTATAAGAATTAAGTACTTAAATAAATAATTTATATAATAAATAATTTAATAATTTATATATATAATAATTAAATAAATAATTAATATAATAATGAAATTATTGTTTTATAGTATTTATTATTATATTAATTATTTATTTAATATTTTATATTTAGATTAATAATAAATAAAATAAAATAAATTTGTTATACATTTATTTTTCTATCTAATACCCGAATATTTAACTTAAACAGGGCTATGTTTGGCTGTACTAAATCTATTGTGTTTCTTCTTTCTAAGATTACCATTTTATAATCATAAAAATCTACATAGCATTCCCTGTAGACCCCACCAAAACAGATGACAGATTCTTTCGGGGAATATTTAAAATTAAAAAAATATTCCCATAATACCCGTATTTACCGCAGCACCAACCAAAGTACACATCACATCGATAAAAAAAAAGAGTACAATAAACAAATAAAAACCGTGCATTATGCAAACAGAAAATAGGTAAAGTGACAAAGCATATTTACAGAATGCGACCTGAAACGAAATTGTTGTAAATTGGAAACAAATTGAAGTCGAATGAGATAAGGAGAACTGAAGACCGTGGCCGTGGCCAAAGGGCGACAAAATCAAAGGAAATGGAAAATTAAACTACATCGAAAAAAAATACGAACTACGATGACGATCAAATGCCCCGAAGAGGGGCTGTACTGTGCTCCTCCCAGGCCTGCAGATAAGATACGGCACGGAAAAAAGTGCAGCAAGTTTATGGAAATACGAAGAGAGGAGGGGTACCATTTACATACCATAGAGAAGGGGATGGGGATGGGGCTGGGGTTGGGGCTGGGGCTGGGGCTGGGGTCTAACTATACATTAATGGCACTTGTAAACAAATCAATTGAGTTGTCAGTGTGCCGCAAATTGGCTCGCTGAAAAGTGCCACACGAAGGAGATTGGTTATCAATTCCGTTTGGCTGGAAATTATGTTCTTTGCATGTCAGCAACCAATTGCCGAGAGTCGTTATACCACAGGCCACATCAAAGGTGGCACCGACTTAATGCAATTTTTTCTCCACCTCAACACTGCTCCTCCGCTCCACTGCCACACTCCTGGCATTTTGCAATAATTCTCTTCTCTCAATCGAATTGGTTATTTCTTATTGGCCCCGATATTGGGGGCTTTTGCTATTTTCGTTAAACTTTATCTTGTTTTAAAATTAAACACAATTTGTTGACTTTGCCTGAGGGATCGTATCGCATAGCGCATGTCTGGTATCGTATCGTATCGTATAATACCCGGAACATTGCCGATTGTTTGTCTCCAATTTCGAATTTCTGTTTTCATAATTTCGTATTGGGTGGTGGGTGGTGGGTGGTGTACGAACTCGTAGTTCGGTTGTAAAGATAGCACGGAACTAAGATTGACGATGTGATTTGCTCGGTTTGTGATTGAGTAATGGCTTGTCTTGATTAAAAAATCATTTCCATAAGTGGAAGGGGAAGGGGTGGTTATAAACCATAAATACTATAACTGTTCTTAATGAGCGGGTACCTCTGACATAATTTTTGAGTGCGTATTTATAAGGAATTTCTGAAGGAAGCCAATGAAAGGAAAGGATCTTTATAGTGCCTTCATTCTCATTCAATTATGAAATTGTATTTGAAAAAAAAAAAAAAAAATGACATGCTATCAAAGATAAATAAATAAAAATAAAAAAAAATAAAATAAAAAAAATAATTAAATTAATATAAATTAAATTAATAAACATAAAACAAATAAATAAAAATTACATAAATAATAAAAAAATAAAAAAAAAATAATTAAATAAAAAAATAGATAATTAAAAATGTACATAATACCATTTCAGAATTAGTAAAAGACTTTTAAGACCAATCATTTAGTGTAATATTTTGTAATTCAATTAAAAACAATTAAATATTATTTCTGTTCATACATTAAAATTTAATTGCTTTAATTTTAATTTATTTAGAGAAATAATATTTAATAATTAATTGTTTTTAATTTAATTTTCGAAAATAAATGAGAAAATCCTTGAGCATATTATAAAAAAAAAACTTTTCCGAATTTACCTATACAGGTGGCCAAAACAGTGTTGTAAATGCATTGAGTGCAGTGTTGTAAACAAAAGAAATGTGAAAAATCTGCGCGAGCTGTCAAAGATCTTCTTCGTTTTGCTGTAAGCCCCCTGTAAGCCTATCCAGCCAAAAATCGCTATCGCTGGCCATATCGAGGCACTTGTTCTTGTTGGCCCTCAAACACACATTTGCCAATTAAGGACTCAATCGCACACACACACACACGCACACTACTGAGAGCAGAGGCAGAGGCACCTCATTAACAGTTTGACAAGACAAGCTGCAAAATGTCAGCGGAGGAGCCCTAGAAGGTCTCGTTTCTGGAACTGCTAGCTGATCCATCGATCGTTCCACTTAAGTGTGGGCGTTACAAGCCCGACACACACACACACAGATGGATCTCTGGCAGAGTCACACACACTCACTTGGGCTGGTGGAACTGCTGGGGCGCACCTCCTGCCTGCCGTTTGTCACACGGGCCGGCACACGACACGGCAACACTGTTCTGTTCGAATCCGGGCTCGAATTATAATTTAATTGTTTCTTTTGCAACACTTTTCAAAATTGTAATTGGGAGCAAGTCGCGGAGCTTCACGCCCTTCGCTTTGCTTCGGTTGCGGATCGGATCGGATCGGCGGCGATCTTCGCCTCGGGGACACTTCTCCTCTGGGCTCTGGGCTATGAGCTCTGGTCTCTGGGCGGGAGAGAGACACGCTTTTTGATTGACTTCCGACAAACGACTGACTTAAAAAAACGCGCAAGGAGATATGAGCAAAAAAATACAACAACAACAACAACAACAAAAAGAAGCACACAAAAAACAGAGAAAAAGAGAAGTTCGCGACGACTGCAGCCGACGAAGAAGACGACGACGACGATGACGACGACGACGCCGAAGTCCGATGTATCCACAAAATGTCAAGCGAATGTGAATTTTTTTTTTATAGAAGATTTTGTTGTGCTTGTATGGGTTGTACATATGTATGTGTGTGTGTGTGTGTGAGGGGCTGTAAACCAGCCAGCAGGTGGCTCTTGTGGGAGGCCACTGGGCTGTGGGCTGTGGGTGGGGGTTGGGTGGTTGGGGCGCCGTTTGACTTCGTTTTTCCTGCTTCTTCTTTCGGTCATTCTTTTATTTTCTTTTTTCTTTTTTTTGCACGTTTCTTTGCACGAGTTTTAAAATCAAATGCGTGTATTGTGTGGGTGGGTTCTATATATAAATGTGTGTGTTGGTGTGTGTGTGTGTGTGTGTGTGTGTGTGTGTGTGGGTGGCTCTTATCGGATTTGGAATTATGTATGTATTGACTGGGGTTCGCTTCTGCTGCTTCTGTTCGCTCTGCCCCCCCCCCCTCCACCCCTTAAGTTGATTTGTAGTTTTTGAGCGGCATAAAAATGTATTTTGCACTGGGGGTGGGCGACGAGGCAGAGGAGTGAGAGGTATATACAATTTTCTTGGCCTAAAATTAAGTTAAAATTCACAACTTAAAATAAATAAATAAATAAAAAAAAAACCAACATAATCTAGAATTTAATGGGAAGGAGCCTAAATCCTCTATTTGGTTGGTTTTTTAGCGAATTATTATTTTAAAATTTCCTAAATCAATAAATCATTATATACCAATATTATATCCTCTCTAAAAATTCGACTGCTATCGTGTGTTTTTTCCCCAATAAAATAATCACTTTAAAATTCTTAAAAATATTTATTAAAAATAAAAGAAAATTATATTAAAAATAAACAACTGCAAATCCAAACTTTATGCCCTATTTGTATTCTTTTGCCATCCATTTATATGAAAACAGTAACCCGACGGCAATCCCGCTGATGCCTGAAATCCCTTGCTCAACTCGCATTACGCATACGCCCCGTGCCCCATGCAGTGCCTGCCACACCAAAATCCTCGGCAATACAAAAACAAAGAAACCACAAAACAGCAGAAAAAACCAAGATTTGACATTGCGATGATGGCAGCAGCCGAGAATTATTCGCTGGACTGTCAAAAAGCGAATCAGAAAAGGAGTCGGAAAGAGGAGGCACAAAAACGGCGGCAAAAGCAAGGCAAAAAGCGATAAACGCATAAATTAAAATAATTACAAGAGGCGTCCTTTGACGGTTGTTGTTGTTGTTGTTGTTGCTGTCACGCACAGAAAAAACGAGGCAGTAGAACGAGAGGAGTCGCGAGGACGACAACCGACAAACGGCCAACGGAGTTGCAACTGAAAAACTGCAATTGAATGCAATCCGAAGCTGGCTGTGGCAGCCCAGCAGCCCCCCAAACAAGAGGCAGCCACAGCAGAGATGGAGGCAGAGATTTTTCTCACTCAAAAACTTGGGTTCCACAGCGCTGCGAGGTGCAACAAAATTGTTGCTGGGAGCTTTGGCTGCCTGCTGTTGATTTTATTCAAAATGGTTTGTTTATGCCTCAACGGAGAGCGGCGGCAGAAGCAACAGCAGCAGAGGGGAAATCCATACAGCTGCGCTCTCACACGCACACACATAAACACACACACACATGGCCCGACGGCAGCCAATCACTTTGGCGCTCTCTTTGGCGCATGTCTGTTCTCGCTCTCTTTCTCGCTCTCTCTCTCTGTGGTTTGGCGACTTCGAATTCGCCCCAACTCGCGTCGTTGGAGCAATTCGCCCCGAGACAGCATCGCATCGCATCGCATCGCATCGCCTGGCATCTCTATGTATTCCGAGAGGGCCTTTACCTTTTGACTTTGCCTTCGCCTTCGCCAGCGACTGGCTAATTTCCGTTCATTAAAGTTGGCAGCCTCTCGCTTTCCACACCACCACCACTCCACCACCCCCCCTCTGGAGCCCCCTTCGGTTGTAAGTTCTTAAAGTTCCTTCGTTTTGGTCCAACTTTAATTTCATTGATTAGCGCGCAGAGAGGAAAAGTCTTACCCCCCAGCCCTCCCGCCCTCCCTCCTCCTGGAAGGATGTTTCTTCTTCTGCTGCTGCTGGGCTTCTTTTATTTTTGGTTTGTCACTTCTATTCTCTGTCTGTCTGTCTGGCTGTGTTTTGGCTTGTTGTATCCCTCGTTCATTCTTACTTTCTGTTCTGTGTTCCGTTTCTTTGGTACTTTTTTGTCTTTGTAAGCATTTAAGTTGTCTCCCCTTGCTGCTGCTTTTGTTGTTGTTGGGGTTGGGGTTGGGGTTGCTTAAATCTAACTAATCGATGGCTAAGCAATAGATATAGCGATAGTTTGTGGTTTGTTGTGGCGGGGCAATTGTGGGATAAGAAGTTCTTGGAAGCGTCGCCCAACTATTTATGGAGCAAATCTAAGTATAGTTTTGGTTATTTATACATTGGATGATGATTTTATGATTATTATAAATATATTTTAGGTAGCAAAGAAATCAGGATATTTATTGAAGAGATAGATCTTCGGGTAAATGGTTCGATATTTATAGAAAACAATTTCTTAGGGTAAGAAATAAAATATATTTTAATATGGTTTGCATTCTTGCTGGGATTATCCCTGGAATACTTTGCCAAAAAGTGGGTTTTCTGAACATTTTCTTTAAACTATTAACAACTTAGTCTGTCATGGGCACTATTCTTTTCAGTAGAAAGACAATATTAATGGTTTCTCATCTCTCCTAATGTGTTTTATGTTACGGCTTCCTTCCCTCATAGAAAGAGCCTTTTTTATGGGGAATAAAACACTTCAAATGGTCCAAAAACCTGGAAGTCATTAGATATTTTGCACTAGGACTTCTATTATTTGATTATTAAATTTAATAATAAATTAATTTACTTATCGCCTTCAATCTGAGCCCTCAGCAACGCTCCCTTCATTAAAAGGCTTTCATTCTTCTTGAACCAACAAAATCCTCCCCTAAAAGTTTATGTTTCAATGGAAAACAGATTTTAAAATATGACAAAAGATACAAGATAGAGTGAGAAAGCTATACAGCCAAAGCTGAAGGGCTAGAGGGAGATGGCCAGCCTTGCTTTGTGTGTGTTTTCTCTCTCTCTTGTTTCTTATCATTTGACTATATGCAGAGCGCAACGCCCACACTCAAAGGCGAAGGCGTGTGACCCGAACCCCTCCCCAACCCCCATTAAGGCCCTGTTCCATTTTCCATTCTGCACATTCCGTATACGCCCCATAAAACTTGAGAATGCCATCCCTGGCCTCCCCCCCAAGCAATCTTTTGCCCCCCCCTTCCCCCCATCCCCTGACTGCTCCCTAAGTTATGGCTCTTTCTTTATCTCCCCCTTGAACTTTTTAGAATTTTCCACTTTTCCTTTTCTTTTTTTTTGCTCCTCACAAACATTTCCTGTCTCTTTTTATTTACATTACACACGACATAAAAGTTGAAACTTTCCTATAATGTTCATCCTATATAAAGGACCACATGCCACCCGTATATTTAGATGTATGTATTTGTGGGTGGCATACAATGGCCGGGGATATATGTACATACGTTGTATATAAGGAAACAAAGAGAAGAAATATTCTTCTTTTTTTTTCCCAGGCTGTATTTCAACGGTATATTTTTTTTTCTCGCTTCCGTTTCGCAGTTGTGACTTTTCATTTTTCATATGTTGACTGCCACACACACACACACAGAGACACACACACAGGCCCTATATATACAGCTCCTTTCTCTCTCTCTCTCCCGAGTCTGTCCTTCTCTTACTCAGGTTTCTCCTTCTCTCTCTCTCTCGCTCTCTGCTCCTTTTTCCTAACCAAAGTAAATGGCTTTTGCATTGTAAAATGTTGCATACATTTTCCTCTACTTTGCCTTTCTTTTCTTCTGTACGTGTGTGTGTGTGTGTGAGCGTTTATATGGCTGCCATTTACCGTTATGCTGGCACTCGTACATAGAGAGCCGAAACACCGCGCCAGAGCAGGATGCCAGACCCACACAAGCTGGCCCTCTCTCTCGCTCGATTTCTGGGGCCTGGGTATATTTTAAAATTTATGAAAAATAATATTTTCCATCTCTTCACACACACACACACACACACACACACAGGGGCACATTCTTGGAGGAGTTCTGGGCCGTAAGGCGCACAATCAGAATACAATGGCAGCCTAAGGCGATGGGGAGGAGTAGGAGGGAGGAGGGACGGATGGATGCTCGTGTATATGCAGCAGCAGCAGCAGCAGCGGCAGAGGCAGGATAGGGAGTCCCGTGGCACAGTTGGCTTCCTTCGCTCACATTTACGTACAGAGTTGCAAGATAGAGGTGCTTCAAACAGGGTTGTCAGCGTGTTTTGGGGAACTAAGAAAATGATTTTTAATTTGGGGAATATTTAATCCAAATAATATGGAATTTTTAGAATATTTTTACGAGTCCTTGAACGGCTAAGAAATCAATATAAAATGACTCTACTTTAGGGATAATTTCTGGACACATACAAAAATTTATAAAAATGGTTTTACTTTTGGTTGAAAATATGCCACAGAATTTATTGTTTTTAGATTTATAATATTATGAAATTACAGAAACTCGCCAAATTATATTTAAAATTTTTAAATATAGAAATTTTTTTTCTTATCAATCAATCTTATAAGAAAATTATTAAGACATTTAAAAATGTTAAATATATTTTTGGGAGTTTCTTAATATTTATCGATCAATCGTATCCGAAAACAAATAAAATTATTTAAAAAATTGTATATATGTATGTTTAATTTTGGGAATTTCTTAATTTGTATCGTTCAGAAAAAAAAAAAAAATTTTTAAATTTGTATATATAAT